GAGCATCTGCTCCTGAAGCCGGTGTCTCTGAAGCACTTCCCTGCCAGCTCTTCTCCATGGCAGCCTCCGAAGCAGCACCAGCATTACCTGTTTCCTCACCGTCCTGCTGCTTTTAGCTCTCCTCCAAAGGGCACGGAAATTAACTAAAAGTTAATGGCAATTAGAGCGACATCAACTCCCATGCTGATTTCTACTAGAAAATCAATCGTGTCCCTGGAAGAGCATGCCGTAGAGTGCCTCTTTCTATTAGTTTTATTCTCAGCACTTCCTTTTTCAGCACTAGGGTGCACCTATGGGTTGGTTCCATGGGCAGAAAAAAAGGGGAAAATCTGATAAAGGAGCCATCGCTGCCTCCCTATTTTTGTTTGTCACAGGTGCTCACCGAGTTTTATTCTTGTTTGCTGCATCAGGAATGGAAAATGTCAGGCCTTTGGCAGCGGCAAGACAAAATAGGAAAGTATAGGAAAGAACAGCTGCAGCTACTGGGTCCTGACTCTAGTAAAGCTTACCAGCATGGCCAGTATAGACTGGTGCATGATACCAGTACTGGTGTGCTGCCTTTTTATACATGAGCAAGCGTAGTCTGTCAGCATCCTTCTGTGGGATCTGTTTTGTTTGGGGGAGGGAAGCCTGTTTTGTTTCTTGCACAGAGCTGCTGAAAGCAAGCCAAGTTCTAGCACAGCCTCAACAGTCTGTTTGTAAAAGCAGACGGTCATCATTACTAAATATTGACATGGTGCTGAAAGAGGGAAAGCTTCATAAAATCACCCAGATCTTTAACAGTGGGATGGCGAAGTAACGCAGCGCGTGGCGTTGCTTCCAGCTCTGAACACAACTTGGGAGCTGAAGCCACGTGGTGGCTGGGACGGTGCCGGAGCAGAGCTGCCCCACGGCAGCAGGGCGGGCTGGGGCAGGGGCGGCACGTTCAGCCCCACCTGCTCGCTGGGAGCCATCCTCCTTCCCAACTTGGCTGGTGGAAACTCCGGGTCACCTGCAAAGAGGAGTCCGTGCAAATAAAACTGGAAGCGTTGGACGTCTCACATCTGCTTTAGCCAGTGACCATGTTTGTTTGCTGTAGACTGACATAAGGGCTGTTGTGGTGAAAGAAGTGAGCAGTAAGCCTAACTGTGGCTGAATTATAGAAAGGGACTATGTAGGTTTTCACAGCAAGGCATAATGCTACAACACTTTTAATAATTTCCTCCGAATGACTGTTTCAGTGTTTTATTGCCATATTCTACTACCTTTACGTGTTTGCAATAGACTGTCACAATCGAGAATCATAGTGTTTGCATCTTTTTTGTCTCAGTAGAGTAGCTACTCTTGGAGGTCTTCTGTGTGCATACAGGCATCTGATAATGCTGTGTAAACATTCCAAGGATTGAGCTATATAAATACTTTTACCGGAAACAATGAATAATTCTTTCACCAATTTCAGAACTGCAGATATGGGCAGTTTATATCAACTGTACATATAATCGATATACATATTTTTTGCAGAAAAATATGTTCCACATTTCTTAATTTTAAAACTAACCATTTTTGACAAGGGAACATTTGAAGTAGAAAAATGCTGGCCCTAGAACTGTATGCTTTAGCATTTCCTGAATTTCTATTCACATTTTTTATGAGCATTTATTTTCAAGCCAGACACCAAGCTTTTCCTTTTAGATAAGTTCCCTTTTATGGAAAGAGAGGGGAAAAAAACAATGGGAGCATCTACTGAAATTTACGGTTTTCTAATGGAATATAGACAATTTAAGATCCTATATGGTAATTTTAGATGCATGTCACTTTAATTGGTATTTCACATCATAATTATTTCTTACAGATTGATGTTAAGAATTTTTCATACCTATTCTAGATGAAAAAAATAGCATCTATTGCTGTGATTGTTTAGAGCTTACAGTTAACTACATCATTTTCTGCTTGTGTCAAAGCTGGCGCACTTAGGATTTGTACGGATTGCTTTACCCGTGAAATAATTGCTGGAAAATGCATCTTTGTCCCAGTTGAAAAATATATATGTTATTTTTTTGTTTTAAATTTTGGAACTCTAGCATGCAGCAAAACCAAATGAGTTAAGTAAGAATTTTTGGCATGCTGACAACAGTGAGAGAAGGAACTGTCTTTTGACATTGTAGCATATTTTGTATTTTGATTTCTCATTTGGAAAAAGTTATTTATTAATTGCTTGATTTATTTTTTTGATTGATTTCCTATGATCCATTTTCTCATCATCCCATTCTGTCTATAGTTATGTAAAACAAACAAATAAACAAGCATGTATATTGTTAAAAAAAAAGGCTGTGGATTACTTGAAAGAGTACTGTAGAGCTATCTTTTCAAATATGTTTGCAAAACCACAATGGATTATGGGTTTGCTTTCTAGAAACATTAATTTTCAGGTGTGCATAGGTACTCATTAAAGCTGTCCTACTGTGAATAATTCTTCTGAGGTGCATTACTGTTTTTTTTTTTCAATTTTCATTTGCAGAGCTTGTTTCCTGTTTGTATTACAGAACCCACAATAACAACATTCTGTGGAATTTCTTTTGTGCAGGAGGTCGTAACGAAGTTGTCATCACTGAAAATAACAACAGCATAACTGAGCAAATCACTGATGTTGTCAAACAGCCTGCCTTTATAGCTGGCATCGGTGGTGCATGTTGGGTAATTCTGATGGGTTTCAGCATCTGGCTCTACTGGCGCAGAAAGAAGAGGAAGGGGCTCAGCAATTATGCTGGTAAGAACAGAAACTATTTATTACCATCTCATCAGGTTCAATCATGAAGGAAACAGGTGCTGTTAAACCTACTTAAGAAACATGTTGAACTTACAACAAGGGTGTCCTGGGTGAAGTTTGTATGCTTGTTTTAAATGTATGCTGTGAAAATGCTGGTGTATGAGAAGCTTTAAATGCATTGCTCGGTACTACATTTCATCATTATCATAAAACAGTGTTTATTTCTTTATTTTTACATCTCCAGCACATCTAGCATAAAAAAGTACAAAGAGGATTAACTGTACCTCTTGTTCCTTTCTCAGAAGGCACTCTGTTAGTGGTTCAGCCCCATTTATGTGCTCAAATGTAAGTTAGACTACACCCTGATAAGGAAGGTTAGAAAGAGCAGTTGTTCTTCTCCTCCTTCATTCCTGTGCATTTCCATGTCTTTGAAGCCCTCTGCATGGGAAATGAACGGAAGTACTTGTTCAGTGATTCCATACGTATAGCTGGAGGAGAAGGGAGTGATGTATTAGACGGAGAAGCGTGGTCAAAATTTACCTATGGCAGAAGCCATAAAAAGTTTTGTCTTGGAGGTAGAACACCTTGGAATGCCCTCACAGTGTGATCCCTCTTGCACCAAATGTGTTGCTCCAGTTACAAATAAGTTTTTGAAAACTGCATTTGGAAGAATAAATACGTTTGCTAAATGGCAATATTTTCTTCCTTTCCCAACCTGTTTGTTTTGTGTATTATTCTGTGCTTCAGGATTCTTGTGGGTTTATAGGATGTCAGATGAATTATCATAAAATGGGTCACTCTTAAGCCTAATTTAACACAAAAAAAGCTATTCTTCAAATTTTGGGGTAGGTTCTCTTGTAGTGCTTATTAACATTTAAAAAGAGAAAACACCTCCTTTTTGAGCAAGGTTTGTACAGTTGAGGACATAGCATATTTAATATTGACATTATATCATGCTAAAGTTACACTAGTGCTCTTCTATTTACAAGTTATCACATGTGAACCTGAGGACACAGGCTTCCTAAGTGGTTGAGCATCTCTAACAACTCACCAAAAACCAGTGTTCATTTCCTGCTCACAGCCAAACAGTCCTATGCCTCCTCACCTTGGTGTTAGCCATCATCAGACTCCTCCATGTCCTGACTGGGCTCACTAAACCAAAAGGAAACTGTTCTATAGTGTTTTCCAATCCTTCCTGTTGAATTAGTTGGGCTCGGTGAAACAGGCAGCCCAGGAAGAAATCGGGCAGAGAGAGGAGAGACCCTTTCAGTGGCTCTTGGACTGACTCGGTTTCTGTGGAACCTCACCTTGCATCACCACATGACCTGTATCATTCATAGATTATCCTTTTTGCCGAGATATTTTCTTCTTTCCCTTAACTGCAATGACTTTTACTCTCTGAGAGGTGGGGTGGTGTTAATTGAGAAACTACTGTATGTCACACACATGCCTACACATGTATTTGTATGAAATACCCATCTAGATCCCAAAATTTTTCATGTCAAGAGACTGCTGTACTGTTGTTTCTCTTAGAAAACAGTCCTATACATAAACTTTGGACACAAGCTAAGAATGCTCTTTTTTTAATAAGCAGAATCATTAGCCCTGTATGTGAGTGGGCATGTTGGGAGGCAGGAAGAGATTGAGAGTAAAGTCTTTTATACCTTAAAATGCATAGCTGTAAATAATTGCAATAGTCATTATAAACAGTGTGTCTCCTGCAACTCATTCCTTCTCATGATGTTTGCTGCATCTCAGTGTGATGTGAACATTGCATCATGGCACAGAATTCCCATCATCAGAATTATGAAATAGTGTATGCTTTCAGCAAGGAAAGTTCATAACAGATCATGCCTCAAAATTCATCCTAATGTTTACAATTTGGAGAACAGCATGTCCACAGAGAAAGTCTTCAAATGTGACTGTCAAAATTCACTGCTCACCTTTCTAACCATCATTTCTCATTGGCTGCTGGCTGGTTAGTGCTTTAAGCTCAACTGTTATGTCCTGCTTATGATATTCAACCACAACCGAGTAAATTCCAGAGGAAACTCGTGCCCTGCAATTAGCGCTTATTATCAGGGTGTGTGACTCACAATATGTTTGCTTTCTTGTTTTGCAGTTCAGTCCTTCACCTTCACCCCTGCAGGTACTGTCCATTAGTCTGTCTCTTACCTCACCAACATGTCATTGCAAACATTAGCTATCTAAGTGTTTACGAACGTGTGAGATATGCAGTATTAAAACCAAATACAAGGAGAGATACTTCTGCTGTCTGTCTGTAATAAAAGCATAGCGTTTATTGTCCTGGTGATTCCAGGGGAACATAAAATCCACCACCATTAATGTCTCTGTCATTATAATTCTACATACTTCTTACTCGGCTAACTCCTCAGAGTAATGCAGTTGTAAAAGTAATTTGTAGGACAAGATGCTTGAACTAACAACATAAAAAAGCATTAGTCCTATATAACTGAATTTTGATTTTAAAGCAAAAAAAAAAAATCTCTTGAACATTTTTGAAGATCTAACGGGAGAAATGGCACTTTCTTCCGCTTTAGCTGTTAGTTGCATATATGTTGACCTTACCAGGTGTTCAGATCTCCAAGCATCTAGTGATTAACCAATGCACACTTTGCCTTTACAGTGTTTTTGAAATTGAAGCATTTGCTTTATTTCTGCCTACCCAATTCAAAGCTGATATTCTGGGTTTTGTATCTTTAATAAACATAGCATACGTTAGACCATTATCGTAAGCATGATTAAAGATATGTGAAAAATAAACGAAGTATGGCTGAAACAGCAGGTGGCAAACAGCTTATTCAACATATGGATAGCTGGGAAAAATAGAGTATATAATTAATAGTAATAATTAATGCAAATAATTGGCTTCTGCTCTCATACCTAAGCTCGAGATTCAAAAACTTAAAAATAATTATACCTCAGTGTTACCATGTAAAAGGCTGATAAATCCCAGCATTTTCCAACAGAAGTCTGTAAAGTTTTTGGCATGTAGCTTGGCTCCTCAGTTGCACTGACCAAAGCAGCCTCTTCTCCTGCGCCCCCTGCCATCCACGTGATAGAGGCCAGTCTTCATACTGCACTGCTGACCCGGTCCTCATGCTCAGCTGGCTGCTTTCTCGCTCTCGCTTAATTTCAGCCACAGCTGGAGTGTTAGCTTAGCAGAAAAGAACAGATGACTGTTGAGGCAGATGAGCAAAGGTGGTGTTGTCTGCCCCAGGGGCCTGTGTCATTGTAAGGGAGAAGAATCCTCATGGAGAAACTCTAGGTGCTCAGGAGTTGCTCCTCTGGCTTCCGGGAAGGTTTGTTCAAGTTAGTATAAGTTGTGGCACAACATATCCTACCCTAAATGCTTTACTTGCTTTTCTTTGAGACACAACTTAGGATTTTTTTCAAAATTAAATAATGCATCTTTGCATTTTGGTTCCTATGATTATGCCACTGTCAGCTGTCTGTAACCGTGGTGAGTTTTTTCCATTGTCTTTGTAGCATATGTTGGCATGACACAAGGTTGTGCTGGAGCCACAGTGGCTGCATGATTCAGTGCAGTTGATCCACATGTGTTGGATGACTAGGATATGTCAGAGGCACTGCCAAAAATTGGCTTTTTTAAAAATAATTTTGACATGTCATGGACTCTATAGAACTATAACAGCACACAGTTCTATTTCCTGGCCTATAGTAATTTCTGGAGGCACTGAGAACCTAAGTCATCCAGTAGCCAAGTCCAAAAAAAAAATCATTATTTTTTAAAAAAAGTTATTCTTATGAAAGAATGTAGTCCGTGTTTTTGATCTTTGTACCCATAGTTCTGTAAGAAACGTTGTTAGTTCTCTAATATTTGAATTTACCATTGGTAATATCGTTTAGATAAGTATATCTATGCTTGTGGAGGTTTGATGATGCTCACAACTGTATGTTGTTCCCTTCAAAGTTATGATTCATAAACAGTTTGGTTTCAAGTCGAAATATTTAGACAGTGGTGTGTAGTTTTCAGAATCTCATCAGAGACAGCTGTCAATAAAGTTTTACTAAAGATGAATTTAACCTAATATACTCAGATTTTAGAAGGTGCACTCTCTTTGTTCAGACATCTGCTTTAAATTCTTCCTTCAGAAAATTGCAAAGTGCAGATTTGACTGTGTAATAAAGAGAACTGAATGTATTAGTGGAACATTCATATACTTACTCTATTTCAGTCACAAAACAAAACCCTATTTTTTTGTGTTATTTCTGATGTAATTTTTGTTTTGTTTTCTTCATTTGTATTTGCATATGTGTAGAACTTAAAACACTAAAAATAGTCGTTTAAAAGTCTGGATTCTGAAGTTATGTAATTACTTGCTAAAAATATTCTTTCAGGTCGTTTTCAGATTATGGGTGGGACTACTTGTTATTTGCATTATGTTATTAGGCTCCTAAGAGGTATAATTTCTGTAACTGCTGTAACAGTCTGTGTAGGAGAAGAGCAAACAGCAAATGTCACGCAATTGGTAAAGATTTGTGCCAGAAAAGAATAATTGATTGAGTTAAATTCATTAAGCTTTCTGTCTTTGTGAACATTTTCATAAGCACTGATCGATTGCTCAGATGCTCACAAATAAAGTGACATTGAAAATCATAACTAAATCTTATTTTCACTTGAACTGACTCCAGTAGTTACTGAGCCACAATTCTGTACATCGCTATTCTTCCACTTCCCTTTCCCCCATCATGACTCACTAGGCATTGATTCCCAGTAATATCAGTACTACAAAATATAAGATTTTCAACTATGTTTGTTAGATTACTACTGGTAAGCAGTAGTGTCATCATCTGCAGCTATACAAGAAGTATATATTTTAGGCACCATGACATAAGCAAAGCCAAATCTAGCACAGAGACACTAAATACAAATGTTACCTCTTTTCAGTCATCTGTTCTGTTATATAAAGGATGGCTTAGTCTTACTTTTGTGAGTTTCTGTAAAAGCTAAAATACTGCTGCACTGGGATTTTTTTGTATTTGTATGGTTAGCCTTTAGTCAGATTGCCTGGATATAAACATGCACAGTGGGTTTCTACATGATACAAGTAAAGATAGATGGCACAAAAAAGATATCTGACCACTTCTCGTATAATACATGAATTAAGACAGAACAGATTTTGTTTGTTTTGTATTGGAAGTTGCAATTCTCTCTTTACATTTTGGTATAAAGGCTTATACAGCAAAGGCATGGAATCCATTTGTAGAAATAAGAGAAATTTCATTATCTGCTTATCTTTCCTGTGCCTTCAAACTCATAATTGTTCCAGTACCCACTCACTTGAATCCTCAGGTGATTTCGAGTCTCTAGGCTGTCAGTCATGCAAAGAAAGTAAATATGTATTTTCACTTATGAGTAGGTAAGCTTATTTAGTGACTAGTGCTTCTTGGGATTAAAGATTTCATGAAACTGAGTAAACAAAAACAAATTAAAAATAGATAGAGAATTATGGAATGCCACACATTTTACATGCAACTCCTGAAACTGTTAAGTGAGGATAAGTTATTTGACAGAATCATCCAAAGGTAGACAGAAGATTTGATGGAATTTTTATATGCTGATTATCTCTTCTGAGTTAATGCTTATTAAAAGAGGATTAATCTACATTCGTATTTGAGGAACAGCTTATCAGAAAAAGGAATGAGACTTGGCTGGCAACATTAAAGTTTTCATTTGCGGTAGGAAAATGTGGCCTACTAGAGATAGGCGTACAGAAAGCTTTCTAAAGCTTTCGTGCCTCAGAATGTCAACTTACTATACATTCGTATTTTTCCAATTCTAGCAGGCAGAAAGATTAAGTTTAACCTTGTCAGATAATATTAGTAAATGGTTTGGGTACCTCCTTATATATTTAATAAAAAGCATGTGAAAAGCTCCTTAACGTATGCTGTTCTCCATACAAATACATACAATATAATTTCCTTAAATATTTATGCATTTAAAATGCACTTTGGATTATATTTCTGCATTTTTACAGCCCTTGAAGTATAAGCTGGTGGGGATTCCTTCAAAATCTCTCTATGCAGAGGTTATTTTTTCATCTTCTTTTGAAAACCAATCTCATCCCTGCAGGTCTTCAGCCTTTCTAAGAACATATATCAGATGCAAAGAGTGCTGAAAGAGCTTTTTTGCTTCCTCAGTGATAAAAAGCAAGGGAGATGGGTGGGTCAGTGATAGGGACATCCTTCCCTTCCTCCTCTTACATTGCCCCTTGAAATTGCTCTGCTTCTTTTTGAAGTGGAGACAGGATGAATAAAGCCAGCTGTCTGCATGTTTTATTTTTACAGTGACATCTACAAGTCTGCATTGCATTAAGTATGCTCCTATTCAGGCGCTTAGGCTTGTTTTGTAATTGCAGAAATCAAACCACAGGCAAAAATGCTGACAAAACATAAGGCAGGAATGATAAACATAGTGCTTGTGTTGGCAGCCTGACCATATCTTCTGTTGTTAGCTGTCTTTCCTTTCACAATATTGATGCTGAAAGAAAGGCACCTTCTCTATCCAGCCTCAGGTAGCCCATTTATGGATGGCATCAGGAATGCAATTTTTTTTCTGTAGCATCCTAATGATACGTCCACACTTCAAGAGGAATTTTGGCTAGCTTAGTTGAACATTCCGGAGCCTTTCCACCAAACATAATAAACTAAAATACTTTCTTGCTTATTTTCTCATGGAGATTATAACCGTCTGTGCATTGGTATACAGGATGGAGGATAAACGAAAGAACCTGTGTTTCTTCCCAGTTCCATACACATCACATAAGCTAGATCTGTGGATTGGTATACAGGGTGGAGGATAAACGAAAGAACCTGTGTTCCTTCCCAGTTCCATACACATCACATAAGCTAGGCACAGTCTTCCCCAGGAAAAACAATGTTACTGCAATACAAGTTCTTTTTTTTTAAATAAACTAAGCTGAACTTTTCTTCTAAAATCAGTGTTTATATTGAGAGGGTGTAAGATTATTTAATGTAGGGAAAAGGAAACAGTTACTACCACCAGGATACACAGATAGAAAGAGTAAATGCTGGGATGCCTTTTCTTCTATATAAGCTCATATGCCACAGCCAATCCGCAGCAATTACAGCTCTAGCAAATAGGTTTCGATATCATGTCTTCTTGATATGTTTCTCACAGTATGCCTTGGAGTTTTTTCCATACCTCACCACACGGAAAATAAAATGTGTCTGGCGAACTTTACTACAATTTCCTACTAGCTCCCCCGTTTTAGTTTTGCTGTGAAAATCTATGTAAGAGATATAATTATTTTGAAGACCACAAGTACTGATTTTTCTTTTTTTCCATATGTCATGGATAGTTAAAATCTCACACACCTGTAAGTGCTATACAAGTGGTGACAATATTACTTTAAAATTGTTTCAGGTAAATGATAGTGTAAACAATAACAATTGCTTACACTATCTTGTTAATCCCAAGAATTTTTCAGAAAATAAGTTTTACTGGAATCCCCTTAAATCCGTAAACTTTATTTATAAGAGTTGTTACTGAATGCGCCTTTGTTTATAATTGTCCTTATTTCTTATTGCTTTGACAAATGCCGAAGGTTGGAGAAATGGAGTATTAAATTTGAAGGGGGAAATAAGAAAGGAAACAGCATCTAATGTACTTTTTTACCAACATACTTTGAGTCATAGCCGGGCAGTACCCACCTCTTTGCATATTCACACATGATATCCACAGCACTTGAGGTTATTCGCTTTTAAGCAACGAGTAATACAGTCATTTGACAGCCTGTTAGAAACAACGTGAATGAAAGTAGCGTCTGCTCTAAAATTAATTAGCTGCAATGTTTTACCATGTCTTGTTTTTCAAAGCAGACTTTTGTTTAATACTTCCCATACTTGCATTTTGATTTTCTTTTCATTAATTGCTTTGATTACATCCTTTCAAAATTCAGCTATTAACCATTTTGATGTGACATATGACTGCAGTGATTTTCTGATATTGATATTAGTCTGTTCTGCAGTGAAAGGTAATTAATCACTCTACCCAAGCACTCTTCCAGCAGGGCTTCCAGAGGGGCCAGTTTTGTCCCCTTTGCTGAATGTAGACTGTGAAATTATCATAGGAGTTAATAAAGTGACAAGGATTCTATAAGGTATCAGAAGTATTTTCCCAGTGGATTTATGTCATTGCTATTTTTTTAAATGATCTCAGCATTTCTACTGAGCGTAGTAATTTTGTCTAATTGGAATGGTGTATAGTAGAAAGCGTAATCTTGAATTTGTGTAGTTTGGACTAATATTTGGAAAATCTTGCAAGTATTCTGAGAGCTGTAATTTAATGATGGGAATGTTTGTCTTACAAAGGTAAATAGTATTTCCAAACCAAGGCCTATTTTAAATTAAACTAGCCACAGACTCTTCCATTCCTCTCTGAAATTCGAACCCTCATCTTGTCAGAGGCCTGTAAGGATGCAGGTGTCCAGGACATTGATATAATTTAATAATCTACCTTATCTATGCCTGACAATAAATAATGGGTTATTGCCACTGAGAACCAGAGTAATCTGTTGGCCTTGATTCAAAATATTTGCCAGTGCTTCAAAAAGGAGCATGAAATGTTGTCAATTAACATCTCACCGGTAATGTGGGTTTACCTACATTGCCCTGAAATGTAATCCTGTTAATAAGATAGATAAGGGATAGGCTGTTTTTTTGTCAAACACCCACAAATGGAGCCATAAAAACAATTATCTCCTTCTGAACGTACCCTTGGCATCCCTCATGACAAGGCTGGAAACACTTAATTCCCAGTGATACTGGCATGTATGCATTTATGTGTGGGTGCTGGTTCTTATACTGTACTTTTCATGGAAAAAGTGCAGCTGTATGTTTTTTGGTGTTTTTTTTTCACCCCTTCAGGTCTAATAGAGCTGCCACCTCTCTATATTTGTCCTGGGAAATGGCATGTTTGTGTGGTGACATTATATTACTGCATTACAACATGATGTTATTAACTCACTGCTGCAATGTCATTCTGTACCGGAGCAAAAGCATGCCAAGAAAACAATTTCATCATGTGGTGGAGTCTTGCAACACAAAGTCAGATGAAGGGGCCTGTGGTAAATTCAGGCCTTTTGCCCAGGCGGCTGGTTTGCCCTGCAAGCTACAGAGCAAATTGATCTTAGTCTATGAGGTGCAGAGAAATCCCAAACAAACTGTAACCCTAACGTTTTTGATCCTTTTCTCATATTTTCTGTACTTTATTATGTGATGATGCCAAGAGGCCTCCGATCTCAGACATTGAGCAGTTTGAATTGTTACTTTTAATTATTACTAATTGATTTTTCCCTGTCTTATATGTGTGTGCGTGTGTGTGTGTATGTTTGTTTGTTTTGTTTTTCCAACCAAAACACAGTCACTTTCCAAAGAGGAGATGGAGGACTAATGAGCAATGGAAGGTATGTTTCTCTGCATAAAGGTCTTTCCATCCTATTTATTTTTAAGATTAGGGATCTGAAAAATGCTAGAGGTGATGCATTTGGGTAACAACTGATCATTTGGAAGACTGACAATGCTAGCAGGAGTTAAGTAGCTTACCACAAGGTTTAATGACCTATCTGTTGTGCACTTTGGAGGAATCAAGCCCAGATGTTTCACGTCTCCCAGATGCCCTGGAAGAAATGAGTAGTAAATATCACAAGGAATGTGTTCATTTGTTACCAAGATGTTTATTGCATTAATTAGACATTAGCAAATGAAGTTGCTGTTGTTTAAGACTCCTTATTGGCTCCTCCTAAATTGCTGTGAGTGAACAATTACACTTAATCGATCACGAAATAAATGATTCATGGATGATGAATAGGCTGTAGATTGATAGGACTGGATTCCACAACTTTGGCTACTCAATTGAAATTGATAAAAGCTGATAACGGACCCATATATCCTCATCTATTTTCCCTTTGCCAATATGGAGATTGTAATTAGGCCCTGGTAATAACTTCCAATCTCCCGTTTAATCAATATTTTAGCAAAAAGAGATTAGGCCTAATGAGAGGGAGTAGATGTGGCAAGAAAGCGACTGGGTCTTCTTATTGCCGTTTCCATAGAAACCGATGTTTCTCTTAGGGATTGTGCCAGGCGGGGGTCTATAACGTACAATGATCGGAGATGTTGCTCCAACTTCATGAGTGCATTAATAACCTAGAAAAGCTGCAGAACTGAGGATGGGGTTTTGTTTTCATTTAGGGGGAAGGGTGTCTGCAGGAGATGATTTGTTTTCCCTGTTAAATACAAATACAAACAATCCACCTGCCTTGCTGAATTTCTGGCTATTTATCCCGGGGTGAGAGAGACATGGTGCCTTATGGCCCGAGCGAACCTTCTCTTTCAACATACTCACTGTTTAATACTGCTCTCAAAGCTGGGAATTACAGGGATATAAAAGCCGTGCAGTAGTGGCAGATAAAGATAGCTGTGGACTTTCCATTAATCCTACTCAAACCTGTTTGCCTCTAAACCATCTGAGAATGCTCAAAGAAAGAGTTACCAGCCTGTAGATGACAGGCGTGCATTTGGGATGCAAGGGAAGGAAGAAATAGTAGCCCAAAGTCCTGGAAATGGCTGATACGGAGCAATCAGTTTGAGTGATGGCTCCCTTGAGGTGGTAATTTATCATGCAGCCCTGGTGTAGGATCCCGTGATGGTGCTGCCTAACCCCTGTTTCACACAGACAGTGGAGTTCATTTGGATTCTGGCAGAATCACGACGGATGCCTAGTCCCACTTCTACTGACAAAGTTGATTTGTATATATCCTTAATTAACTGCTCAAGGTCTTTAAATCATCAAAGGCTACGCAATTTTGATTTGAAATAAATTAAAGTCTCCTGAACTGTTTATTACCTACCATGTTAGAAGAACAGTGATATAGTCTCTTCAACCACTAGTTGTCTCACAGATATTTTAATTTTGTAAAAATATATATATATATTTGTATGTATATCTTTTTTTCTTATTCTGCTTCAGTCGACCAGGTCTATTGAATGCAAGTGACCCCAGTTATCCGTGGCTTTCAGACTCTTGGCCTGCCACAAGTCTGCCGGGAGCACTAGTGGACCCAATGATCTTGGCAATTTCGGTCGTGGAGGTAGGTTTCATTCTACTAAGTCCCTGTACAGCACACAATAGGCTTCTGTTAGTTAACGTCCATGATAAACACTGTGTAATATTTTTATCGTTACAGGTTTTTCTGTGTTTAACTCAAGATTTGATTTAAAATTGACTTTAAAATGTTCGTTTTGCTTTGTCTCTTTCTACGTCTTTAAAACATAGGTCTAGTTTGTAATTTACCTCACAGTGGTGAGGCAGGGTCTGCTTATCATCTCAAGAGAAATGCATTTGCTGCTCAAACTCGGTTTCTTTTGTGTGGAGCTGAGCGATCTGCTGTGCAGGACAATGTAGCCAGGAACAGAGAATGTCCATAAGAGCAGAGAAGAACTCAGGGGATGCAGTAAGACTGTTCCTTCAGCAAAAGAAGGACAGAAGAACATTGTTGCTGTCACCTTACCCATCCCCTTCCTGTTGAGGGACTGCTCTCAGTCTCAACCATAATCCGTGAAGAAGACTTCAAAGGTCTTCAGAAACTTTCCTTCTTATTGGAGGGAAGAACACATAAAAGGAACTATTTAGATTTTTTAGGGGTTTATTTCCATTTTGAATTGAGGGAGGGGTACTTTGGTACTCCACTTTGGGGAGATGAGGTAATCATTTATAATTATGGTGGTGAATCTTTAGAGGGGTTATTTTTTTTCGCACATTTACTCAAATGGGAATTTCAAGATGTGTGACTGGGATTTTTAAAAGTCATAGTAACATTCACTTCTCTTTCTCTTCTGGTTTCTGTGATGTTATAACACAGCTAGTTCTGCATAGTGGTATTCAGAACAAGACTTCCTAATATAAATGAGTATGTAAATATTTTTAAGACATAAATTAGTAAAAAAAAAATCAAGACAACTTTATATATAAAAGTACATTAAAATGAAAAAAATCTTAAAACTGATAAATGTGAAAATAATTCAGTTTTGAACTGTACCAGAGTCTGTTTCTGAAAACCATCCCTCGCATCAGTTTTATGTTCCCATGCAAAACTTTTTGCCTGTGGTTTGACTACTGTGACTTCAAATTATAACAGAACGCTCTAGATTTATTTTCCATATAAAAATGTTATAAAGCTCTTGTCTTACAAAGAAAATTATAAAGTAAGAAACACTTTTGATAATATTTAAAAGGCAGCTGAATATCTGCCAGCTTCTTTGTTGTGAATATCTTGAAAATAAGACCCTTCAGTACTTTTCCATCTTTCCATAAGCTCACATAATACAGAAAAATTACCGTTTTCTTTTAGCATTTGGCTCTATACGACTGAAATTGGAAGCATGTTTCAAAACTTTTGGCTTCGGTGTGGGTGAGGCATAGGTCCAAATTTACCAAGAGATGCAACAGTTATATTTGGAATTTCAGCAGCTGAATTCCACCCATGATCTTTACAGTTCAGCTTACACTTTTATTCTGGCTGTTGTGGGACCACTTATCCCTCTCTGTTTCAGTAGTTGAGTTTGGATGCTTCTGCACTAAAGATGGATTAGAAGTCAGATGTTTTATAACATGGATTAACTGTATAGATAGAATTTGGGCCTCTTTTACTGGTTAAAAGGTCTGTGATAATATGAAAGATCTGTAAGGATTTTGAAAACAGTAAAGTGGCAATCAATCACTCTGGAAACTCAGAAGCCGAGGCACGCAGTTCTAACATTGCCTTTAAGAGTGAAAACCACGTTATGTCCTAGATAGGTATTTGAGAGCGAGGCAGTGAGTGGGAAGCACAGGTTAGGTTTGGATTCGCATAAGGCCACAAAATGGTGCTGCCTCTCCCAAGGCAGTAAGAAAGAACTTCCCTCAGGAAGTACTTCAACAGTATTTCATTTATCTCAAGAGTTACAAAATAAGTTCAATTTTGGAGAGTTTTTTGGGAAAGCATCCAGTGGGAAACGTGTGTTCATCTTTGATTTGAAATGTACAGTGTGGTTTTTTTTTACTATGACAGCTTGGTGGGAAAATCACACTTGATTTTTAGTAGGTGATTATGGCACTTTATAAAATGGCACTTTAATAGCTCTTTGAGTGCTTACTGTGTACTTCTCATTGAGGTCAAAAAAGTAATCTGTGGTTGTACTGAAAATTCCCAGAATGTCTGGAGAACCTCAGCTCATTAGTAAGAATGACTGAAAATTCTTGGCTGGCTGGAAGCTGTGCAGCTTTCCTTTCAAGTGTGTGCAAATGTGTATTTTTTCCATTTTAAAATAACTGTATAGAGATGATACTTCTTCAGTTGCCAGAAACTCTAAAAGATAGATGTATGCCTGAGTTCTTGAGAGATGAGCATTTTTCTAGTTTTTACTTCCATGAGTCTGCAAATCCAACGTAGACAGGTTGAGCTGGATTTACTTCATTTTACACATCAACAACAGAATTTATTTACTAAACTTCAATCCATTATGCTTTGATGAAACCAATTGTGGAAAGGAAAAATCTTCATATTGTGAATGAAATGCAAGAAAGATAGGACTCGGCTTGTCTTTTGCATCTCATGCTATATTTGCACCTAGATGCTTTTATGATCATATACTGCCTCTAGAAAACACATTGGATATATGCAGATAGAGAGTAATAACCTAATTTTGAAATATGACCTGTAGTTTGCATTAGTTGTAATTTTTTGGCACTTACAATTTATCTGCAGATATCAGTTAATTCAATTAAGGCATTTTAAATGCTCGATTGTGTCCATTTCCCTGTCGTGGTTGTCTGCGAAAACAGATCATACTGATAGACCCAAATTTAATCTCTGTTTCTGCAGTCTCTCTACTGAGCACTTGTTATTGCCATATTTATTGTTAATATTACGTTGTTGCCCTGAGACTGCAGATATTACTAGGGTCCATATTAAAACATTCACTGTTGCACACATGAATGCAGTAGAAAATATTTCTGTGGTCTAAGTGTTCATCCCAGGAAAAAACAAACAAACAACAAAACAGTGGGAGGAGGCCATGGTATCATATCTCATTGCTGGAAAAGTTTTGAGACAGTGAGAGAACAACTGTATTCCCTGAGGTTGCACAAAACCCATGTCTGAGACTGGAACTAAGCTTAACTCCCTGTCTAGGTGCAAGAATCATCTTGTCTCTTCGGAGCTTAAGATATATAAAAAAAGTCTGTGATACCGAGAATGAGATCTGAACATCTTCACTATAGGAGTATGCATTATCTCAAGTACGATCTAACAGTTGGAATCCATATCTGCCATCTGGCTATATAAAGCAAATGGCATATAAATTATGCATTTTTCTAACAAGTAAATTCCAGAATGGACTCAACTTTTCAGCGTCTAAATAAACTGTAAAAATAGTACCATTTGATATATTGACCTCTGAAAGAGCAGAAAGAGTGTTATCTGCTGAGCTGAGGTTCTCCTTTGGACATCACGCCAGTCATCATTAGGTTCTTCACACTTCAGTAGTCTCAGCTTCTAAATCTAGTATTCCACCAGCAAAGGTCACTACAATGTTTAGTAAGGAGAGAGGCTGCCAATCTAACTGATTAAAGGTACAAACTGCAGTGTGTGATAGGATTCAAAAAATGTAGAAAAGTCAACAGATATTTAGTTAAATATGCCACACTGTTTTTCAGGTAAATGTACTGGAGTATTTGAACAAGTTGTTCTCCATTATCAACACTGCTTTGCCATTCTAAGAGACTGATCACTTAAATCCCTTCAGAATAACAGATTTTCTTTCACATATCAGGAACAACTTGGTTTTGTCAGGTTTTTCTTTTGTTGAAAAGGGAAAATGTACTACCTAATCTCAAAAAGAAAATTAGATAAGCTGATGCATAAAACTTTACGGAAGTCAAGGTGATGCCCTTAAAAAATTATTTTGAGAGCTTTGGCATCCATTTAAGAGTTTTGATACGTATTTGCTGGGAAAATTTGCTCTGTGATTTGTAGATGTACTCCTTTCATCATTTCTCTGAAGCCCAGACACTTTCATCGGTTCTGACATAGAGCGAACAATTGAAAACATTCTTCAGTAGAGAAAAATTCCAAACTTTCACTTTCACAGTTGAAGGTATGGAAAAAAAAAAAAGATGGTTTTAGGCAGTGAGACGTGAAGGACAAGTGGTAGGCCTGTCACAGATGCTGATAGCTTGGTGATGGTTGTACATCATCTTCCCTTCGTTGGCTCATGGACCTGTCTCAGCTGAAATGCAAACGTGCAAAATGACACATTTATTTTTCATCTTAAACCTTGATACTTTCAGGCTTCCTGTGCATCAATGATTTGTTTCATTCCCCTATGTTCACCACAGATGTGCTGCCACCAGTGCCAGGGCAAGGAGATAAAACCGCTACTATGCTTTCTGATGGAGCCATTTACAGCAGCATTGACTTCACCACGAAAACTAGTTACAACAGTTCCAGCCAAATAACACAAGCCACGCCATATGCCACCACCCAGATACTGCATTCCAACAGCATCCATGAGTTGGCTGTTGACTTACCTGATCCTCAGTGGAAAAGCTCGATTCAGCAGAAAAACGACCTGATGGGATTTGGTTACTCTCTCCCAGACCAAGGCAAAGGCAACAATGGTAATTACAGCTCTTATTTTCCGGAGCCCTTGGCTTTGTACCGTATCATCTATGCATGAATTAGAACATCTTTTTAGTATGTGAGACACTGCTCATCTTTACCGTAACTAACGCTTACACACCTTGCATGCGTGGTGAACCTCACACAATCACAACATAAATTGTTCTGTGCTTTTAATCCTCTTTGTCTTGTGCTAACCACCAAGCCATCTGCCTTCCATTAGGCCGGGATAGGTATACATTGAAAAAAAAATAGCATCAAACTTGCTGCCCCACGACCTCCGCCGTTGACTTGCTAACTGCATGTGTTGCATGTGCTTGTGCTGTCAACTACTCACACAATGCCACGGTGACGTTTGCCCTTTAACCCTTAGCCTTGCTTTACATCCCTGACTACCGCGTGGCTGAGGGACTGGCTAATAGATTGCCACACAACCAGTCACAGGATTTCAGCACCACCAGCTCCCACAACAGCTCCGAAAGGAGTGGCAGGCCCTCCGGTTGGTTCCACCGCCGTGGGTGGGCGAGGGACAGGGACGGAGGGGTGTTGGTGAGCAGCGTGTGTTGGAGGTGGAGAACTTCCCAGGCGGGTAGGTACAAGGGCACCTGCCCACCGGCACATCAGCGAACAGTGGCACGTTGGTCTCCACTGAAAAAAAATGCTGTTTGCAAAACCCCTCTGGAGATAACTGGAGAATCCTCCCGAGCAGCACTTGTTGGCGCAATTGCAAACCTTGTCTTGTCACGTCCTTTCCTGGACAGCACTTCTCGTGGAGCAAATGTATTTCTGCATCAATCCTCAGTTTATGGGTCTCTCCACTCCAAACTTCATGAGGAGATTAATATTTTTGTTGAGTTGTTAGCAGGTTCCCCACTCCCACGAGCTGTTTCTAAATGCTGCTTTTCAGTGAAGCAGCTCAGAAACAAATGTAGGGCCCTGCAAGATGACTGGAGTTTCAAAAATTGTGCCAAGTCTGCATACAAACAGAATGTAAATTTTGTGTGTGCGCTGCATGTTATATTGGAAACATGATGCATTTTCATTGGATGAAAATGACTGCAGTACACGTGGTTGTGTATTATATTTAAACACACCTTTTTCTTGATTTCTTTACTTTTGCTTACTTGTTGCTCATGTTATATATAACTGTGTCATTTTATTTTTCAAGACAAAAACTGAAAAGCCAGGAATTAAAATGAAAGTCTGCTATTTCGGTTAACCAAAACGCAGGAAAGCTGAAGAGACTTAAATTTCAAAGTATTGTTATATCCGTAGCCTTTTGAATTTCCACTATGAGTTGGAGTAATCAGAACAGTAACAGATCAACCCTAGAAATGGCTTCTTTATGTCAATTGAAATGACTATTCAAATTGTATGTTGAGATTAGAAGCCTATGATAATTGGGCCATAACTCAAATACCCAAAGTTGCAACTTTTGTGTTCTCATGGGGAGCACTAGCTGATTTGAGTGAGCTCAGAAAACAGGCTTATGACATTGACAGAGAGCTCTCTGGGAGCTAAGTTCATATGATACTTCAAGAAAGGTTCTTGTTCCTTCTATGTGACATGTATTGGCAAGTAGCTTAGGAAATCAGCTTGCTCCTCTGGCTGCATGAAAATGTAGAAATTGATATGCTGAGGTACATATGTGCGAGTTATCAGAGGGCAGTATCACGCTTTAGATGTGTTGACAGTTACAGCTGCCTAAGAGTTTTCTCAGAAAATGCAAAGTTTCATTGGAAAATGCCAGTTGATCAAAAGCTGGACTTTGAACAAATATTTCAAGTGAAACGGATTTTGTGTAGTGTTTCTCAGTTTGAAGTACATTTACTGACAACATCCAGAAACTTCAGGTTAGCCTGTCTTTCTATGGCCAGGGCACTCCTGTTGTGATCAAAGCAGCTCACACCTGGATGCCTCAATGCTCAGATGAGCATCAGACTATTGGACTGCAGAGTCAGTATTTTGGTCTCCCTTGCCCACTAATTATGTCTTTAATACAGGCCAATTATGTCTGTAATACATGAGAAACTGGGGGAGACCTTCAAATAGTCTGATAATTAGACCATCACCGGAGTCAGAGACCAGCTTTGATTACGTAATCCCCATCAGGGTGAGCAGGGACTTGTTCTCTCACTTCCTTGTGCAGTACTTTAAGTACTACTTATTATTCTGACTAAGTTTCTATCTCTCTCATATGAATATAATGAGAAATCCTATCCCACTGTGGAATGGAAAATAGCTAAAAACTCAACTGCTTTGTGAGGCACGGAAATTTTGTGGCTGTGCTTTGCACAGCTCCCAGCTTATGTCAGTACTATGATCATCAGCCTGACTGGCAAATTCTTTTTCCAGGACCTGAATCATCCAGAGATTTAAACAACATAATTGAATTTCAGTGTGAGGAGACATTGAAACATCAAGCATCATTGCTATGGGGAAATAAGGCTTCTGTGCAACAGTTTTCAAACACACATCAGGAGTTATGTATTAGGTGTCTGTTCCACTAGTCTGACAGTGGAGTAACTCTGCCCACGGGGACAAAAGAGAAATCTCCTGCCCAACTGTATGGTGTAGGCTGCTTTCCCTAACAGCAATGATCTTGGAATTCCTTTCTTTTATTTCTTCATCCGAACAGTTCCTCAGCTCTCTCCTTCACTCTTTCTAATAGCTCCGTTATCTTTGACCTTTCACTCCAAAACCTTCCAAATCCAATTGACTCCATACTAACACCCCACACATCCAACCTCCATTTTACCAGTCTCCTAAGATTACCAAGATGCTACACTTCCAAAATTTCCCTTTCCACCTCAGGTAATCTCTAAGCTGAAGTTCTCTGCATTTCTCTTCCCTCTAGTTTAAATATTCCTGCAACACACACACACTCTCTCTCTCTCTCTCTCTCTCATGTATATGCTTTCCTCCCAGCGCAGCCCCTCCTGCCTTAGCTCTTATTGGCTTTGACTCCTGCTAACTTTTGAAAATTTCCCCTCAGTGTCTCACAAATTAAAATTAACGTTCTTCCTTCGTATTGTTCTGTGACCCTATTTCTAACTCCGCTTTCCACCATACCTGTACTTTGAAAGCTTCATTTTCCCTCCAAAAGTTTCATGCCAGCATCACTGGGGTTTCTTTCCTGTTGATCAAAATGTTCTTTCCCTTTTCAATAAAGTCTCCCTCTCTGCCAGGCTACAAAAGGAGGGAAGAACCTGTCTTGCACCCTAATAGACAGAATATCAGCTCAGTTCACACTTGTGAATGACAGGATCTTGGCTGGACTTACTATAAGTACTCCACGATAAGGAAGGAAGAGCTCTGCTCTGGAATGTAGTAGTGGAAAGCAAAGTCTTGTTTGCAACATGCTGCCAGCCAGGCTGATTAGAAACCTTGCCGGACTTGTTGCCAGTCTCTAGCAGCCATAACAGAAGGTGGAAAGAGAAGTCTTGGCTACTTCTGAATCACAGAATCATCCTGTTTCTTCCCTCCCTATTCATTCCTCTTTTGGTCCAGCTGACATTTGGAGATAACAAAAGAAAGTCACTGTCTCTCAGACGAAAAGTCCCGTAACAAGGGCTTGTCTCTATTGCTGGAATTATACCTCTTTCTGTATCTCTTCTCCATGGCAAGAAGGGTGGTGCCTGCCAGTGCACAGCGTGCCACTGTGCCTGACGAGTCAGTTGTGGCTTTTCTGATTCATTACTGTTCAGAACTTTTTACATAGTTTTTTTTGACTAATCCTTATAAATCAGTAAGAGACGTAAGCAGCTTAGATGGGTTAGACTGTGCTTTCTGCAACAGGCAAGGGACAAGTGACTGCCGGCCGACTGCCACTGAAAAAGCATATGACAAACCATTCTTCCACCCAGCAATCCAGAGAGTTTGAAAGCCACAACAAAATGGCAATAAATAGATGGGTCTCCAAGCAGTCAAGGGATTTGAAATCTTGTGCCATATTCCTCTTAATGAATTCCTGACAAGAAAAAAGAGTCAGAGAAAAATAAAAGTGAAACAAGTGGGAAGAGAGCTTTTACTTTAAGATCACTTTCCTACAAAGAGAAGTGTCTCACCTGGAGAAGTGGGTACAAGGACAATAAGAAAAGAGAAGAGGGCTTACGCAAAATGCATTGCTCACCTCATGTCTACTAGCTTCCTCCATTAGAGTTGTACATCAGAAATAGAAGCTCTTCTGCATAGCAGCATGAGATATTTGAGTTCTATGAAGTAGACAGTCCTAAAACAATACAGATGACTTCCTGATGTTTTAAAAAATGGAACTTAGTAAATTTCTGTCAACAAAACACTTTCTTTTTGTTTTGACAACTTACACTTGTCATTCTGGCTGATAAATATTGAGTCTAATGACAGCTTTCTTAGATTGTGTCCTTAACCTCTGTGTTCACAGAAAGAGATTATGCAAAACGTAATCACGTTGGATGAGAACATTGGATTCTGACACTTGAAATAATTTGCTACAATAGACAATTGGTCTATTGTATTTTTATCTAACAGTGAATTCAAGAAGTCATAAAGCCAACATGAATAAATCAGTAAATATATTTCTGATACGGCAAAACATGCCTTTCCTTGTTTGTGCACTACTGTGGTGCAAATGTATGGAGTTTTAAAAAGAAGTGATTTTTCACCAATTATTCAGAATATTTTTCCATTCCATTCTATGGAATGGAAGAGGGACTTTTTACAAGGGCGTGTAGTGATAGGACAAGGGGCAATGGATTTAAACTGAAAGAGGGCAGATTTAGAATAGATATAAGGAAGAAATTTTTCACTCAGAGGGTGGTGAGGCACTGGAACAGGTTGCCCAGAGAAGTTGTAGATGCCCCATCCCTGGAAGTGTTCAAGGCCAGGTTGGATGAGGCTTTGGGCAACCTGGTCTAGTGGAGGGTTTCCCTGCCCATGGCAGGGGGGTTGGAACTAGATGATCTTTGAGGTCACTTCCAACTCTAACCATTCTATGATTCTATTATTATTTATGACCTTGTAACAGCATTAGCATGTTGATGCTGATTCTGCTGAGATATAAATACATCTTTTTTGGGGCATGCCATCTGGAGTTAGAATTCTTTCAAAGAAATCTAAATAGCTAGCTTTCTTCCCCACATTATATCTCTAACATTTTATTTTTCTTTTTGGATTTGCAGGTGGAAAAGGAGGGAAAAAGAAGAAAACCAAAAATACTGCCAAGCCCCAGAAAAATAATGGTTCAAACTGGGCCAGTGTTCCACTCCCACCACCTCCCGTGCAACCACTTCCAGGCACAGAGCTGGAACACTATGGGGTGGATCAGCAAGAAGCAGGGTAATTTTTTTTATTTTTCTTTTGAAGAAAAATCTGTGATTAGCAGAGATGAGGCTTTTTTTTTTTTTAAAATTTTGCTAAGTGGCAATAGTATTCTTTTTTTTTTTTTTTTTAAAGCGTGCCTTATCCCTATAGGTTTATAGGCTTATTAGGCTATGGAGGAGGTCTGTTTGAATAGCTTCTCTTGATAGTGAATGAAGATGGAAATAAAAGTGATCTTGCTTCATCATCATGTAGGGCTTCTCTGCTTACTCATGCTGAGAAGTATCTCGCTTCACATGTAGATTAATTGAGTTCTACTGGGACTGCTTTGCAGATGATGGGACTCAGAGTGAGTAAGAATGGCCTAATCTGGCTCCTTGTATTTTTTCACTGCTTTGATGTTTAAAAATATTAGAGCTAACAGCACGAAAAAACCCACACTAAATTGGATTAATTTTAGAAGATCAGCCAGTGGATAATAATCTTCTCACAGGCTTTTAGAAGAATTTTCACAAGTGAGGAAGGCATGCTATTTATAGGCTTTTTTATTATTATTATATAAACAACTCCTGAGTTTCTGAAACCTTACACTTCTTTTTGGGTAGCTTAAACTTGATTTCAAGGACACAAAATCACACAAAAAGCACTAAATGAGAGGAAAAAGACATTCCTGCACAAAAAAAAAAAATAGGGAATGCTTTTTATAAAGTGAAATTGTATGAAATACCAGGTTATCAAACTCTGGAGACAAATCAGAGTGTATAGAAAAATAGTTTACTGTGGTCAGCTCTGTTGGAGCTTTTGAGAATCATTGTTCTGTCAGTGACAAAAGCTAAAACGTGTTTAAGATGGTTTCACTATATAATATTGTCTTTATCAGTCTATATCCTTAAAACACGTGTGCAGCCATTTCATTAAAATAATTGTGCTGTAGGAAGCAAACACCTTGGATTTTCTTTCAGGACCATGAAATGGCGTAAATGGTAAATAGAAATACCTCCTAGAGAAATCCTTTGTGTCAGAGGGCTTGACTCCCCAGTTGCATAAACAATCTGTTGTTCAGCTAGGAGGAATGATGCTGGTCACCAAGACCTCTTACTCTTGGTTCCCTGGCAAGCTTTTTCCTGTGACACTTTACCCTTTGTTATGGTTTTCTACAAAGTCTGTGCTTGTTTCTTGTTGCCTTCCTTAATTTTCTCTGGCATATACTGCAGTCTTTGAAGTTTCTCTTTTCCTATAGTAGGTCCCAATCAAGAATGTTCCCTTTCTCTCCCTTTTCAGAGAAGATGCTTTTGCTTGGTTTTATTTAATAATCTTGAGAGTAAGGTAATGCTTATTACTTATCCATTATCATCTACTTATATTTTTTCACAAATAATGTGCATGATCTTAGGCCAACCTCAGTAAAGGCAGTCTTCATATTGTTATCATTGGTTATTTTTATTTCTTACTATTGATTACACCTTAAAGTGGAATATTAGCTGCTGGGTGTCAATATATTTGATAATAATTTTCTATCTTTAGAAAAGGTAAAGAAGATAATATCTTTTATATCAAAAAATCCTTTCTGGCAAGGTCTAAAGAGGGAAGCTTTCTTTGCTGCAACAATGTGTGTAATGAAACAGAATTGTTATAAAATGTGCCCCTTACCTGTAACCTCTACTTTTTATTTTGAAGAAAGGAAATCTATTGATGTAATGAACCAAGTTTTTTTAATAGCAAAAGATTACTATAGAATAAAAATGCTGAGAATAGAATAAAAATTATTAGAAACATAGAAAGTCATGTTTGTTAACCAGAACTTATGTAGGGACTTAATTATCACGAAATTACTATCAGAGATCCCTAGTGAAGTTAAAGTGCTTAGATTTTAATAAGTACTTGAAAAAGGTTGCATGCCTTTTCACCAAGTTGTATTTAATCAAAAAAAACCCAGAAAGAACATGGATGTGACCAATATGCACTATGCTGGCTCCAGAAGTTTCAATAACAGTATCATTTATATGAGGTGTAGTTACTATGTAGTCTGTTAGGTTTGCCAACTTTTTTCTTGCAATTTTTTTTTTTTTGTTTTGTTTTGTAAAATGCAAGTTAGACTTGGTGGCTTTTTTGGACATCTTACATCATGGACACAAAGGTTCTTGTACCTGAAATCTTGAATCTCAATATCCTGAACTTCAGGCTTAGGCTCCTTTCCATTTCAAACAAAATCTAGGTAAAGATATGGTACTTGTGAAGAATCTTTTTACTAAGAAATCTTTTTACTAAGAAATCTTTCTACTATCAAGCTGAACATTTGGGGATTTGAAGCAAGTAGGGTCAAAAGGCGAGCACATCCAAAGCTCTTTTATGCATTACTGAAAAGTCACTAAGGAGTATCTTTCTGCCCTGTCCCTTTTAAAGAAGAAGCCATTATACCAAAGCATGAGGTTGAGAGATAAAAGTAAGTGGCAGAGCTATTGCACTGTACATTTTTAGCAGTATGAGTTAGGATGGTCCTTTCACCCTTCGGTGGCAATGTCATGAATGAATATTGCGAGGAAAGACAAATTAGAGCTAGCCATATCTTAATTGTCTTCTAAGGAATTGAATATGAATCATACACGATCTCCTAAATCTCTGTGTTATGAAAATGCTCATGATAATTCACTCCAAAGCTCCTAAATGGCAAGTGTTGAGATGCTCCGTTTATTTGCACCTCTATGCACAAACGTATGTTTGTGTATCTGTATATGGTTGTACCTAGGTATCGATTTAAAGTGATAACCAGCATTAATTACAAGATATGTCTTCCACAGATTTTTGAATGATTAAGTCAGGTTGTTTTAGCTATCCTGAATCTGTACTTCTAAATATAGGCTACAGACTTTTGAATAAGGAAAAGCTAGTTTAGTTAATTTTGGAAATCTTTGAATTTTTATTAAAGTAAATGTTCCGTTCATAATTCAAGTTTTGAAACTTCTCTGTCTTGGTTTTCCCAGCCCTTTGGTAACCCAGATTGACACTTTTAAAATTGACAGTGATTCATTTTTCTATGGGAAATTGGCAATTCCTTCCTTACAAATCAGGAGCCTTAAAGGAGTATTTTTAAACTGGTTTGATAAATTAACTGTATAATGCATTGCCTGCCTGCGTTGCAGAAAAAAAGTATGTACCTTGTCAGCAGTCCTTGAAGGTGGAAAGAAGATAAAATTACTTAGATGATGCTTGGAGAATGGCCTTTAGAGTGTGAGATGGTTTGACAGTGAAGGAGCTGTGAGAACTTTTGGTTATCTGGTTGCTTTTTGAAAAGAGCCATCTATCCTGAGGTATTTTTGGAATACACTAGAAGTTCAGAAGAAATGTGTGCAGATGCTCAAGGGACTTCAGACTGACGGGTTGTTTTGAAGATGGGAAGAGCAGACAGTGTTGAGATTTGAGTAGTGTAATCATCAGCAGAGCTGCACACAACTGAAGTTGTGTTCAGATTAGGGAATTACTCTGGGGAGATAATGCACAGGGAATGACCACAGTCCCTAGGGCCTTCGTGTCCTGGAACATCTGTCTCTAAAGGACAGGTTCATGGGATGATACTGTGATATAACACTGAATCAAAAAGTCCTGTAATGAAGATAGAGACAGAAAAGGATTGAATTGCTGGCAAAGCTTACACAAGAAGCAGCAGCAGAAAATAAAGCTTCTACTTCTAGCCCTGATCAAATGTAGCATCACCTCATACACCTTTAGTATAAGACTAAAAATTGAACCACAAAAACCAATCAGAACGTCTTTTATATATGAAGAGAAGAACTTGATATTGAAGAGTATTGGTAGCTGTCAATCTTCTAATTTACTTTGGGCAGGTGTATTAAAAGCGTTCAGAAATTTAGTCATGCCTAGCTAAGTCCCAGTAAAGATGGGTTAGGAGAAGGGTGTCGGCAGAGCTGTCAACATGTGTGCTAACATATCTTATCAGCTGGCGCCGTGACATGGCGTATGCTCAGGGTCAGTGCTACTGCGACATGAATGTATTACACATCACAGTAGATATAGATTTGCAGAGTGGCAAGACTAGAATTTGTGTTGGAAGTGTACCTTTTTATTTAAGCTACAAAATAAAAACACATAATAAATTTATAGACAATTAAAGGGGAGAATGGGAGTAAGGAAGTGCATAAGTGCAACTATGTAAAGCTTTCTCTGCCTTTTAAGAATTCTGCTGGTTTCATGTCTAGGTCAATCTTCAACATGTTCTCCTAGGTGAATGATCCAGGAAGTGAGTTAGTTCATTTTTGTTGTTGATTGTGGTGTAACATTATCTAATCACGATTAAAAAATATGATAACGGATCAGTAATTTTTTTATTGCGCATTTGAACAAGTTGCTTAGCAGTTGTGGGAAAAATTAAACAGACACAGTACAGTGAATTTAAGCAATTATGACCCTATTTTCAATAAATGTTAAAGCTCACACTGTGTACGAGGATTCCAACTGTAGCAGAAATCCTGTATACCCTCTACTGCACTATAGATATTTGATATATACTAAGTTTACCTGGTTTTTATTTTAGATATGACAGTGATGGTTGGTGTCCGCCTTTGCCAGTTCAGACCTACCTGCATCAGGGCATGGAGGATGAGCTTGAAGAAGACGATGATCGTGTTCCCACACCTCCTGTCCGAGGAGTAGCTTCATCTCCTGCAATCTCCTTTGGGCAACAGTCAACTGCAACCCTCACGCCTTCTCCACGAGAGGAGATGCAGCCAATGCTTCAAGCCCACCTTGATGAATTAACAAGGGCTTACCAGTTTGATATAGCAAAGCAGACATGGTAAATGTTTGAAAGGGGCACCTGCGGTCTGGGAACTGAAAGCATAATAATAATAATGTATTCCTTGATGACGTAAATATCGACCGTGTTCAACAACATTTCAGTAATGTTTCCAAAGCAGTAAAATTGAAGACATAGAAAAACTGTATCTACAGTGTGAAGGCCTTAAACATTAGTAGATGTTTTTTATGTGAAGGCCTTAAACATTAGTAGATGTTTTTTAAACCATAATGCTTGGTAATATGTTAAATCTAAATAATATTCCACTGGAGTTTTGCGTGTATTCAACTAAGGAGTTAACACCTACCTACTGACAACTTCTATACAATTCAGAGTACTCTCTTTTCAGGCTAGCAAAAGATGAATTTTTTAGGATTTTCAAAAGTATTGAGTTTCTAAATTCCTGATTAGAAATAACACTAGTCACCTGAAATAGCAATGTAGCAGCTCTTACCCTGTGTCACATGAGAATGAAGCATTTGCATCTCTGACTGTAATTTGAAATACCATGAAGATTTCTGATTCATAGGGAAAAACCCAGAAATAGCAGGAAGGAAGTCGTTAGAATTTACAAAATGGATCTAGTGTTTTAGTGTGCTTTATGCCTATTTAAAGGAAGAGCAAGCAAATACCACAGTAACATTTCCCCTGCAAAACAAACAGGAGCAGTCTCTTCAGGGACTGAAAAAGAACTTGTCAACTGCACCAGACTGGGGATACGGTGAAGGTCAGTTGCTTTCTGGATGTTCCCTAAACGGCAGTTGTCCTTTCACAACTTTTCTATCCAGACAAAGCCTGCGAAATCTCGGAGGAGAGGAGCAGAGCTAGTTAACGAATGGCACGCTGCCAGCTGAGGAGCAGCCTTTCTTCCCTGGTAAATAAAGCCACAAAGTTATTCAGCTTGAGCTACCATAAAGAGATCAGGCAGGTAGGCAGGCGGTGCCAAATCATAGCCAGCTGTTTTCCCCGGGCACTGTCGAAGCCCCGAGGCTTGTCTGCAATCTGCGCTCGATCAGCAGGGTCCTGTGGTCCCGCTGCAGTGCCACGCTGCCAAGCACGGACCCCGGCCCGCCTGTGGGACAGACCCAAATCCCAGGCAGCAGCGAGACCTGGCCTGTTGAAGGTAGCTGACTTCTGAGCCAGCACACAGATGCGTACCCTGTCTGCGCAGCCAGTCGCTGCTGCGTTTTGCAGCTGTTACCCTTTCTACGCCCTACAAAGAGTAGGTGCCGGTCTGGGAGCGAATAACGTAGTAGGACTCTGTAGCAGAGCCTCTTGCAGCTGACAGGAAAGGTCTTGCTCCCTTTCTGGAGAAATGAAAATCGATTGGGAACTTTCATAATGTGCTTAGGAATGGACAGATTTTAACGTCACTCTTGTGTAAGGTCACCATAATCGAGCCTGAAAATCTGAAAAAAATATAGAAGAGAGAACCTGTATTTTCATGCTGTGACCTTATAATAAGTATTAGAGTAAACATTGAGAGTTGCAAATACAAATTATTTTTGCAGTAGTTGTGACAGGGAATTGTTTAATGCTTTGATATTATTTTTTGGCTGGTCAGATATGCTGTTCAGCAAATACCAAAATTCAAAGCCAGTGGAAATTCCTCCATTATCTTAGGTGGGAGGGAAGATTTCTTCGTTTTCTTTTCACAAAGTTAACCTGTCCAGTGTAGAGGGGGGAAAACAGAAGAACAAGATGAGACCTGTCAGATAGGTTACAGTAGGAGTAACAGATGAGAAATACAGAGATCAGCCAACTAGAAATTTAAGAAAGAGCACATTAGAGATTACTGGAAAAGTGCATAATCATTATGGCCTTGATCCAGCAAATCACTTAAGTATATGCTTAACTACAAGTACATGAGAAATTGACTTCAATTGTTCTATCACATGCTTAACATTAAGCATATACTTAAGTATTTTGCTTGATTGGGAGCTAATCACGCTGTTTATTGAGGGTTAGTTAAATGGTAGTGCCCTTTAGCGCAGTGTTTTGAACACTGCATAGCTAAGAACCTGGTGTCCAGGCAGAAAAGTATTTAAGAACAGCTAATCAGAAGGGGGGCGAATATCAGAAGGGAAGCGTTTTTGTGCAAATAAGCTTCAGAATAAGCAGTAATTCAAAACCTACACCAAGGTGGAGAGAGATTCCAGTGGTACAAAACATTTACTATGATGTTCTCAGATCCCATAGATTTACATTAGGGGAAAAAAAAAAACCCACAACTGTTTGAATAAAGAGAATTACTGAACTTATCAAGCGTAGACAATAATACAGCACAAAGATTTAATTGAAAATGTATTAGAGCTGAGTGACCACTCGGGTGAGAGTTGTAGCTTTTTCTGTTATGCTGGTGTCTAAGCAAGAGACCAGCAGAATCCTGGATCCCTTCCAGAGCACTGCCAATTCAAATCAGGTCATGGCACCTCATGAACAACTGCCCAAGGATTCCCACGTGCCTAAGTTAGCAGTTTCAAGCATAGTACATGCTCTTCTGCCAAGGCCAGCCATGCCTGTCTCCCCTGGCACAGCTTGCTGTGTACCTGTACTGCTGCACTGAAAGCTGATGGTTGTTCTTTTCCACTCTAGCCTCTCAGAGGCTACACAAATGAAACTTCAAGTCCCATGCTTACCTTTGGTCATTTAGCTATCCTGTGGGTGGTTTTTATCTTTGTTTTTCTTTTTTTAATTGTGATTGCTGCGTGCAGTAATTTCACACATGCATGCCCTAATACTGCTTCAATTAAATCAATTAAACTACTTGCAACAGAGCAAAATAAAAAGGCCTCGCCGATAATGGGTTCATTTGCCTTGAAAATTTCTTCTGTCCTACTGATCATTTCCTCGTCTTTTAGAGTGAGTTCTACTTAAGAGCACTGCATCTGTTTAAGCAGAAGGGGTGAAATTTAATTTTGACTCAACGTGCGATTTGCAAGGTGGAATATTGGGCAAGACTCTTATATGCTAGGTTGGGATTCAGAATTGTACTTTCCCATGGTCTTCCTACCTGGTTTGTATAGCCTCTGTGTACATCGTTCCTCGTCTGTAAAATGACAGTCTTGACCTTCTCCATCTTACAGGAGGGGAAGTAGATTTAAGACTGGAAATTGTGCAGGTACTCTGGTATTAGAAGCTATAGTGAACTGATTTTTCTTGAGTTTGACCTAACGAGCACGTTTTGTAAATCTTCTTCAGGTCTTATTGAAGGGCTTATATTTTATTGACTATGGGCTACGAAGTCTCATCCATTCTGATGATGTTTTCCTCTTTCTTTGTGTAGGCACATCCAAAGCAATACACAACCTCCTCAGGCTCCAGTTCCGCCCCTAGGATATGTATCTGGAAACCTTATTTCAGATTTGGAAACAGATGTTCCAGATGATGATGATGATGAGGATGATATTGAAGAAGAAACTGTAGAAATCAGTAGGCCGCTAAGAGGTCTAGAGCATACTCCAGGATCCAGTATGGATAATCTAGACAGCTCTGTGACAGGTAACCAAAGACTGTTAATAGTGACACCAACTTGTTCCTAACAGTAAAATACATCATCAATCAAACACTTCTAAAGTGAAAATTTATTCCACTCTATTTCTGTAACATTTAAAATGTGTTAATATTAAACACTAAACTTAAAGAAGGATTTGAAAATACTTTGCTTTGCTGCAAAATGATAAGGAAATTCATGAATTTTAAAAAGCTTTAAAGACTTGAAAGAAAACTCAATTATATCCTAGCTTTCATGAAAAGTTCACTCTACTGGAGAAGTCAGCCAGTCACATAAAAAGGAGGGGGAAGACCTCGGTTTAGGAATATATATTTCATAAATCAGGAGCAGCATAAAAATGTTATCTTAAAGCACTTTTAGGTATTTTGCTGGGTAAATGCTTTCACAGATGAACACAGGGAAGTTAAAAGACTTCAGAATAAGTGTAGTTAGATCAGCACAACATTTATTTGTAGAGTAAATACAACAGTTATGTAGGAAAATGTGTATTTTGAACCTACTTCGTATTGCTGAATTTAGTAATTGTTCTCTTTTAGTGAAGATATTTAATTATTCTGACTCTTCTTCCTTCACTGCTTCTGGCCCTTTGCATGCCTTGGAAAGCTACCATGTGGATCATCAAAAAGGGCTTAGAAAGGCATGCTAAACTAATGCACAGAATCTGAATGAATAAACTGTTGATGCAATGTAGGCAGCGAAAGAAATTTTTTTGAAAAATACAGATTTATATGAACATAATGTACTTTTCTTAAGCATCGGTATTTCCCTTTAGGTTGAACTTGGGTCTCTACATAATATACTGTATTCATAATGTACAGCTGTACTGGAGACCCAAATGTACATAATGTTCATAGCTCATAAAAGCTAGTGGGTGCTTCTTCAGTCTTTGATCTCAGTGGAAGAACACTGATTGTCTGTTGCACCTTAAAGGAGACTTGCTCAATACACCTTACTACCATAGCGCCACTGAATTTCATCTCTTTGCTCTGGACCTTGGAAATTCCAAGGATTTTGCACCCTTACTTAAACATTGCTATTCTGAATACACTGCAGGAATATGACAATGATGGAGCGTCAATACCTATAATTTTCTTCCTTTTCCCTTGTTGAACTAAATAGTGTATCGCTCAATCCCACTTTCCAGGTTTTCCTTCACCCTAGGGCCAGACTGCTTGCCAATCTAATTAAGATTTAAGAATTGTATCTCTGCTGCTGCGATTTGAAATCCAGATTCAACTGAAGGCCGTAGAGTTAAAGTTTAAATCCCTGAATTGAGAAGGTTAACTTATTAGTGCATGAGTATGTTAAGTCGCTTCCCTTGAATTTCTAGTGTAATCTCCTTCAGGCTATAATTCTGCATATTTTTACATATCTCACTAATAGCTCAGAAGCCTTTCCATTAGGAATGCAGTAAGGGTTTTGCACTGGCAATACATAAATAAATAAATAAATAAATCAGGTTGCTAGATATTTTCCATTTGGTATGTATTAATATGTCAATATTGATATATCTGTAAATCAGAAAATGAATGTTTTTCACATTTGCATTTTCACCTAATATCTTGTACCACCCTACCTAGTGCAAAGTAAGGAATAGCTGCATTTCTGCTACAATTCATAGACTTCTGTGCTTATTACAATTTATTCTTTTATGAAAAACATTCAAATTTGTTATAATAGTTATAAATCTTGTTTAATTATTATAGTTTTAAAGACATCCTGGCATATTTTTTAGAAGAAATTGAGCAGAACCTGGTAACGTAAACTGAGAGTGTGCTTAAGGTGATCTGAAAGCACTCCCTCTCATTTCCACCACTATCTTGATGTGGCCTCATCCAGCTGAAAAATAAGGTTCTACTTTTCCTTTTTCTTGTTTAATTACTAGCTGGATCTGTTCCTTGATCTGGTTCACCACTTGGCAAGGTGTTTGCCGGCACTGCAGGAAGGGAATGTGCAGCTGGAAGGGGAGCAAAATGACAGACTGCCCCTATAGCTTATAGTCAACACTTAGATTGACTTAAACCAGCCAGGAAACTATGGCTTTACAAAACCAGATTGAAAATGTTAGTCTAAATGATCTGTAAATTCTCAAACTCTTCAAATAACAAAACTACTTCTGTTTTCCTTTGTTACCATATAAGCAAAACCTCAATTTTCTGAGGGCTTGGTTTAGGCTTGTTTTTTTCTAGAGGTGGAAGGAAATTGCTCATTATACTTGGGGGAATTGTTTCAAAAGAGAATTTTAATTTTTGTATATCTGTTTCTGTTAACTCTTCCAGGCTGCATTTATGGATGTTAAGGAGGACATATAACAAATTGCATTCATTGTTTCTAAGCTGTTTCTCATTTTTTAGTTTGATTGCTTTTATCATACTGTAGAACAACTAAATTGTTCTTTCTTGCACTGAGAAAATACATGCTACTTCTTTTCATAGGGCTTTTAGTGACTCAAACCAGCATTTTGCTAGGAATTTATATACCATGTTTTCACTTGGTTAAACATTATATTAAAAAATGAGGGCAAATGAGAACAGCTGACCTGGATGAAGCAGCATTTCCGTACATTTTGAAGTGTCTCCTGTGAGTTCAGTGTTTGTGGGTAATCTAAATTGACATTCCTCGGTCCGGACTTCCTCCAATTGGAGTTGCTGTACGGTGTGCAAGGCGAGTTTCCTCGCTCTGTACTGATAGTGAGCCTCAGCAATGACTTGAAGATACCTGCTCTCGGAGAGAAATGGTGTTTTGTTCTTTATGGCTGAGCTGAGACCGAGGTTTTCATCCAACGCCAAATGTGGGATTCTCTGAGGGGAAACACTGGCACTGCGTGAGCCGAGCTCAAACTGCTAAATTCCTCTGAAACCATGGTGTTGCTCCTTTAAACTGTTTAAAAGTCAGGTTGTCTTCCAGGCCCTTGAGTTTTAGTTAGAGCTAACCAAAGATTCAGACAAGGATTTCATCTACGCTATTAAGCATTTCTCTTTGCAAGTGGCAGAGACATAATGTTGATGTGTGTAATAAAGTGAAAAGAAAGGAGGAGTGCACAATAACTGTATCTTAACATTTTCCAGATATTGCAAAGAAAACTCAAGGAGGGAGGTTTAGATTTGAATGTTTACATGATGGAATATGAAATTAAAGCTGAAGTTTTGCTTCATTCCCAGCGCAGTTTGTTAGGATACTGAGTTACTGATTCTGATTAAAAAAAAAAAAAAAAAGAAGAAGAAGAAGAAAGAACTGAAAATCAGCTGTAAAACTTCTGCTCACTTGACTTTTAAGTCACAATTATTTAGGGTTATTTTTACTTTCAGAGACACATTGAAATGTGTTTTCTCTTTTGCTTATGTTTAATATTTGTCTTTATAATGAATTGTTACGCAGAGTTATGGGACAAATGGTCACGAAGAGTCTGTTCTATTATTCTACTTTAATAGACTTAATTAATTAATTACATATGATGACTGCATAAGAAATTAATTTGCTTCTCACTAAAATCACTAAGAACAACAATAGGTTTTGCCCAATCAAAGTAATATGGTTTGGTTTTTTTCTTTGATGTCTCCTTATCTTCTCCTCCCCTAGCACCACCAGTGAAGCTGGTAGTGAGAGCTGTTAGATCTTCAGTCCTGGTGCATTTTGACTGAGGGGAGAGATACACCCTTTAACTGCCATGGAAATTAGAACAAGCCCTTTTCTACCTATACAAACTAATATAAGCAGAGAGATGTTCTTGTAAACAGTATCAATGCAAATGAATAACAATTTTTTTTTTCAATAGAATTATACAGATCTGAAATTACAAAGATCTTCCATAGGTCGTATAGCTCAGCAAAAAAATCCCTTATTTGGCATGTTTTGGTCTTGATTAAAAGAGTCACTGATCACTGTCTGTATGGTAAAAATTGTTTGTTCATTGTATCTGAGCACAAATGGAATAATTCTTGAAAATTACACAAAATCATTTTCATGAGCCATATTTTACCACGTCAGAGTTCAATATTTATATTGATTTGCTTAGAGATACCTATTGCAAGAGATTCTATTTTATAAGCAGTTAGACAGATTGCATTTAATAGGAAGAATGTGTTTCACGGATTAAATATGTGCTCAGAAAATAGGAAACTGCTACTTTTTGTATCTCATAAAAATGGTAATGCAACAATTAGCAGGGTCATATTATAAAGCACAGACTTTACTCTAGCTTAATGGATCTAGGGATATGCATTCATCAGCAACGATGGATTTAGCATAAAACGACATGTAAATGAATTGATGACTGATCATAAATTAATTTTAGTGCTGAAGAAGTAATAGAGACACAGCAAGATGCCACTTTATCATAGTATTTTACTGCTCAGCAACATTTGAGCAACTACTTAATGTTCTGTGTGCATTTCTTTTCTAACAGCTTGAATAAATTTGAGAAATTTTGTGCCTTTCAGCAATATGGAAACAAAAAAATATAGAAAGATTGAAAATGCAAACACAAATAAATTTGACTAAGTGACATAAATTCATTTTTCATTAAATGTTTATGAAGGGCATTAATTATGGTTAGACCTGTGAAGTGCCAAGTATGTATGCATGATTTTTACCTCGCAGAATCACAGAATGTTAGGGATTGGAAGGGACCTCAAAGGAACATCTAGTCCAATCCCCCTGCCTGAGCAGGACCACCTAGATCAGATCACACAAGAACGCATCCAGGCGGGTTTTGAACATCTCCAGAGAAGGAGACTCCACAACCTCTCTGGGCAGCCTGTTCCAGTGTTCTGTTACGCTTACTGGGAAGAAGTTCTTCCTCATGTTTAAGCAGAACCTCCTATGTTCCAGCTTATATCCATTTCCCCTTGTCCTATCATTGGATGCCACTGAGAAGAGCCTCCTTTTTTTAGTGTTTCCTGCCCTGAAACAAAAATCTTAAAACTTAAGGTTTTATTTCAGATGTATGCATTTAAATATTTGGGCATTTATGTTGAAGCATAATATAAAGTATACGACCAGATCTAATTATTGAAGTATAATAATATTTATATTCTGCATTAAGCCCCTTCTATTATTCTTTCTTATTTTAATGGTACAATGACTATTGCCCCTTTTATTCCATCACTTCCACCAAAATCAGTGGACATTTTTTGTAATCATAGCAGTAGTCAGATATATCCATAAGAGGGTAATGTCTTCCTCCTATACAAAGGCTAAAGGAGTTCTGTAAGTGGTTTCAGCTGAAGTAGCATCAGTTCCCAAGGACTTCATCTGTTCTTCACAAACCTAAGCAGTCTAGCCCTGTTCCATCAAAAAACCTGCAGAGGAGCAGGGTCTTAATATTAGCATGTGCTTAATGGTCTTGTGAAGGAAAGCACATAAGTATACACATACAAGTCCCAGTGATATAATTTGTTAGCTTTAAGCATGCACATAGTTTGGTTTGTACAGAAAAGTATCTAATGGAATTTTCAAAAGTGTTAGGTTTATTGTGAACAGCTTTCACTTTACAAGTGCATTAGATTATTTTTTTTAAGTAAAGCAAGAGTACGCTTTACAAAGAAAATAGCATTTTTATTGCCTACAAAATGCCACTAAAAGCAGTAGCATGCAGTCTACAAGAAGCTAGCACCTCTATTCCCCTCACCTTTCTCTGAGAGCAAAGAAGCTTTCTGTTTGCATTAACACTAAGATATATTTTATGGAGCAAGAAAACAGACTTCAACTTTTCACTGAGTTGGTTTTGTTCTGCATAAAGCATTTACTGCTGCTGTCAGCAAGAGTAAAATTTACAGTTGCCAGAAAGCGTAAAAACTCAGATGTGGTCTTGGAAAACGCATAGTGAGCTGCATGTAAAGGAGATGCTAAAAACCTGTTTCATTCCATTTCAAAATGCACAGTTGATCTGAAAGGGACGTCAGCATCTCTTATCCTGGCTTTATTCAGAGAGAAACAAATGTGCATCTGATTTGGAAAACAAGAGGCCAGTGGATGGCTTTAAACAAGCCGTCCCCATGTGTGCTACACGAATGCAGCTGCGTGGTGGCCTGAGGTGCCCAGGCTGGGCTCTGGCACTCCTATGCCTTCTGGGCAATGTCCACACCTCTGCAGGGCAAATCAAGCCGGGGTTTTGCTGCTGCAAGTTTTGGTGGGGAAAAAATTGTTTAAGCGGGGAAACTGAATAGCTCAGGAACCAGTAGAAATAATGTAGAGATTTCACCTTTAGCTACGTGGTCACATACAGCTGTGGGCGCTGGTGATGTCTCATGGTAGCTTGCTGACTTCAGCAGTTATAAAGAATTTTGTCTCCACTCCCAGCAAGCAGAAGTATCATAAAATCAGTGAATCATAGAATGATTTGAGTTGGAAGGGACCTTTAAAGGTCATCTAATCCAGTCCTCCTGCCATGGGCAGGGATATCTTTGACTAGACCAGGTTGCTCAAAGCCCCGTCCAACCTCACTTTGAACATTTCCAGTGATGGAGAATGCACAGCTTCTCTGGGCAACCTCTTCCAATGCCTCACCACTCTCATTGTAAAAAAATTTCTTCCCTATATCCAATCTAAACCTACGCTCTTTCAATTTAAAACCATTGCCCCTCATTCTGTCACTACAGGCCTTGCTAAAAAGTCTTTTTCCATCTTTCTTGTAAGCCCCCTTTATATATTGAAAGGCTGCAATGAGGTCTGCCTGGAGCCTTCTCTTCCCCAGGCTGAGCAACCCCAACTCTCTCAGCCTGCCTTCATAGCAGAGGTGCTCCAGCCCTCTGACTATTTTCGTGGCCCTCCTCTGGACCTGCTCCAACAGGTCTATGTCTGTCTCATGCTGGGGACCCCAGAACTGCATGCGGTACTCCAGGTGGGGTCATTGCTTGCTTTAGTTGTCAACTGTGTTGACGTCTTCACCCAGTAAAGCTCACGTCCCTGCAAGAATTGAGCTGTGCTTCCCACCTGACGGGCAGTCACTCCTAACACAGCTGCTGCAGGAGAGGGAAGGGGAAGCGATCCATGGGCAGAGTGCACTGTTTGTAGCTTTGCTAATGCATGCTGTCCATGGGAATGCAGAGGAGTTCAGGAACAGGGCTTTCCTATAGGGTTAGCCTGAAAAATTGGCAGTCTGACAGCAACGCTCTACTGATAATTAAAATTTAGCTATTGTTAAGAAAACCTGGTGTATCTGTGAGTGTGTTGAATGATAGGTATATGTACACACATTAGAGAGAGCATTATGGACTTTTGCAGATTTTTTAGTATATTTCATACTTAAAACATGATTTTTTTTTTTTAACGGAATGAACTTTAGGCCAGCCCTTCAAAGAGTGAACGAAAAATGTCAGCTGTTCCTAGACACACCCTGAAAGTATCCCATCCATATTACATGTACTATATTTTGGTAACAGCTGAGTGACTCGTTAGCAAACAGACAGAACAAAATGAAGAAATGGAAATTCAAACGTAAGGTCCTTTAAAATATCCGTAGTCTTGTGCCTATGATACTGAAAACCACACCTGTTCTGTGCAGTATATGTTTTTATATGTGTCTGTGTAGAGGATGGAATGTATCATACAAAGCCCTAAGGCTCTGAAACTAGCAAGATACATGATAAATTTTCAGCACCTGAGTATCATCATTTGATAACTGTAGCTCTAGTTATATTATTATGTTTCAGCGTGTGCTTACATATTTTTCACAGTATGTTGGTCAGCAATTGTTTGAAAATGTCCTCAGCTATAGCGTTTCATGTTCTTACATCTTCATGAAGTGTTTTATCTCTAGTATCTCTTTTCATACATCATCCATAACTGTTGCTAAGCCTTTTTACTCTCCATTCTCCATGATGTCCTATCGCACTTCGATTGTTAGCTCAGAAACTGACTTCTCAGAGGAAATTCAGTTTTAGCCTTCCCTTGCTGTTATCTAGACTTCCTTACATGTGGTCGAGTCTGTTTGGAAAACAACAATTTTATACGTGCCCTTGGCAAGCAGAATCAAACTCTGTCACTCTCTGTTGCACTTCACGCACTTTCTGCCTGTTGGACTTCCATAGACCTCTTTGGTTTCTTTTCTTGTATCTTAGGACTGCATGGACTTTTGTTATTATAGCTTGCCACTTTGGTGGCATTAAAAGGTTTGGTCACTGCAGCAGTACAAAATTGTTCTTGGGCTTTGTGGTGCAACATACTACTGACTAAATTCCGATATTCATTTATTGTACTCATGACTTATTTTTGCAGGATATTTTTAATATTTGACACCACCGTTAGTCAATTGTCCTATCAATTTGTTACTAACAAGCAGATCATTATTGATTTATGAGTTAACAATTTTGAACACAGTAGTACTTTCTTGGACATGGATTAAAAAAAGGCTTTGAATAATATTACTTATACTGCTACACATCTTATGAACCTTTACATAAATTTGCCTGTGCTAACTGAATAGTTAAGTCAGGGCCATGATGTATCTCTCCACATGTGTCTTCATATCTTGAAAACCAGTTCTCTGCAGATTCTCATGTGTTCACTGAGCTTTTTTTTTCCAACATATGCCTGCCACTGTTTTTAAAAAGTGGATTTCAGGCATTTCAAGATAGGTCCCTGTGCTATCTCAGAACAATACACTACGTCTACACAGCACCACGCAGTGCCATGCAGCAGCTCAGGTCCCAAAAACAGTTTGGTAGCTCTGCACCTCAGCTGGACTTGGTAACTAATTAGCATGGCTGCCCTATTCCTGGAGCAAAGCTAGGTACTTGGTGCTAGCTGAGTTGCCTTTGCCTCCTGCTCCACTGCACAGTGTAGAACTACCTTGTGACATTTACCCATGATTTTTAGAGCTACAGAACACCATCAATTCCATCTGAAGCCACAGAAGAAACAGAATTTCAGTACTTTGAAAAAAATCTGAACTGAGTGATAGCTTTTGCAAGTATATTGTACTGCCACGTTGGGTAGGTGATCGATGCTTCAGGCATTGGAAAAAATAAAAGAAAATATGAATGAAGAGCAAGTAAGATGAATCCTCCCTTCACTGTTTGCTCACTATGTTTTAGTGATGTTAAGATTTCTTTTTTTTTTTATGTGCTTTTACTGGTATGATTTTCTGACTGCATTTTTATGATGTTATTATCACTTTCCTCTCCTGCAGTGGTGGTAATCCATAGCTAGAAGGTACCATGGGCCAGCATTGGCTTAGTGACTGACTCAGTATTAAATTTGAGTATATATTTGCTCTGCTCTTGAATGTTAATTATTTCCAACCTTTTAAAAAAGTAACTTTAATCCACTAGAATGAACTACTTTAGGTCAGCTTTCTTCAGGGCATTGAAATTGCTCATCTATTTTAAGGTTTTGATCGAGAAAATGACATAACACCAGTCTTGTTCAGGATAGCTCTTGAAGCCTCTGTCTGACTTTAGCCATATCTGCTGAGACTTACAGTCGTGCTGTCCTAAATTAAGACTTCATTTTGCAAATATCAAACTAGATATTGATTTATAAGAAGTTAAGGAAAAAAAAATCACATTCATTTCTATCCCAGGAGAAATCTGTTAACTTTCAAAAGAATTTATTATGGAGCCTTCACATTTGTAGAGAATATGAATCATTTTTTTTTTTTACAGGATCAAAGCAACACAGAGCAAGCTATGAATGAGATCCCACTTAGCTTTGATAGTGCTCTTTTATACCAAGCTCTGTCAGATAAACTTTTGAGTTTCATGTTGTGAAAGGACATATTGAGTGTCTTTAAGATTTAGAGGAATACTGCTCTTTTGTACCAAGCTCTGTCAAATGAATTTAGAGTTTCCTGTTGGGAAAGGACATGTTAACTGAGTCTTTAATCTTTAGATGATCAAAAAATATCAAATGTGCACAACTCACTAGACCCCTACATTTGTTTTTAGGTTCAATGGTAAATGGATGGGGTTCTGCGTCTGATGAGGACCGTAACTTTTCTAGTCATAGATCTAGTGTAGGTAGCTCCTCAGATGACTCGATCTTTACCAGCGGCAGTTTTGCACAAGCACTGGTTGCAGCAGCAGATAAAGCTGGTTTTAGGCTGGATGGAACCAGCCTGACAAGAACAGGTTTGTAGACTCAAAGTTGATGCTTGCTGCATGAAGGATGTCTCTGCCTATTCTTCTCTTCTTTTCAGTGAACCTGAGTCTCACACTTGTCTAACATGCATGGAGTAAGGTGGATGGAGATATTTTATCGGTATATTTTAAATGAAACCTTGCATTGTGTTTCATTTTCAGTGATTGGAAGTAGTGAATAGCACAAGCTTTTAATCTGCACCTTCAGTCTCCTGCAGTTTCCTTCTGTGCTGACTCTGCTATAGATTTACTGACATATACTCCCTTTAATGTTTTGGTAAAGAGATCACTAATTCTTCAATGCAGTCTTTGATGATTTTTTTTTTTTTTTGCAAAATCTCCTCACAATCATTCTCATTTCCAGCAATGAACGTTGTGTTTAAACTGTTATCTCCATCCCTGCTCTTCTGTTGCATCTTTTCTTGGAAAAGTGTATTTTTCTGTGACATTTTTCTAAGCATGGGGTGAATTGGTGTGCTTTATTGTTAACAATACAAACTCTTTAAAAGCCTTATTAATAGCTGATTTAAAAAATAATTGAATAAGTTAATATATTTTGATAAAATTTAACTTTAATTATGCCAACTGGATCTGCCAAGTTAAATATAACAAAGGTAAAGTGATTATTGCTTTTAAATATGGCCAATCTTCTAAAATGAATTAATTAATAGTATACATAATTTAGTTCATATTTTTAAAGCTCCATATGTTCTATTTCTAGAAAAAAAAAAAAGATAAGTAAAAATTATTTTTAAATATTCTGGAAAAAAGAATGTATTTGCATTTTCTTAGTCTTATTAAAATAACAGAAATAACTGATTATTTAAATCCACAATCTGTTAGCAAGGTGTGAAGTTGGGTCATATTTTTGTTATGCTTTCTTAGCTGATTCCTGCCCACAGGTCCCATAATATTCCTATAATTTAAAGTTTTTTACTATTGGTCTGCTGTGAAGTCTATCCTTCAGTAAAATGTGTGCATTTATGAGAAGTGTCTCAACAGGTCAGGGCTGAAAACCAGAGGCTTTCTGCATGCGATGACTTCATGGCAAACTCTACCTTTTAGGAACATTAAGAATGAAGAAAAGAATCGATGGCAAAGTCCTATGTTGCCAATAAACTACAGGGTGAACAGACACAGCTTTTCTCAAATCACTAAGACTTTTGCCATTGATTTTGGTCAGACATAATCATCCTTAAAAATTATTTCACCATTAAAAGTAGTTAAAACCCTCATTTGCATCTTACACTAGTGGAACATTGGCTGAGTAAATCTGTCTTGTCATTTTAGAAAAACAAAGCAAAACAAAAGAAAAACTGTAAGCCTTCACTCATCTACTATGAGCAGATTTTGCCAAACTATAATTTAAAACATACTATTTTGCTTGAAGAGTCTCCTGAAACATCTTGACTGAAGGGAGCCAATCCTTCCCAACCTTTTTTCTGGTGTTCTTGGCCTCAGTACAAACTAATGCAAGGATTCACCCAAAGTTAATGTCACTTATATCAGTCCATGGAGAAGTACAGTTTCCACCACAGAGACATAAGAAAAGTAAACGGACACACTAACACATAGACACTTTTAAATAAATACGATTTCTCGTTGCAACTATGTAAATGGAAAGGATGAGAACCCTCTTGTCAGTTATGTTTTCCTAGCTTAATTAGGTCACAAAAGAACTTAAACTGAGCACTTCCATGTAATCCCTTGGACAGACCATTAGGGTACAACATAGCATCCAATGGCCGTGGCAGAGACGTTATGAATATTGCCTTTTTACTCTCTTAATGATCCAACAGGCAAAACTGAAACAAAATAAAACCCACATGTAAACAAACAGCCTTCTCTTTTCCTCACAGAAACTTCAGTCAATGGAGATAACTCCCCAGTGCTTAATGCAGTTTCATTATGATATGATACCTCCCAGGGTAGCATGGATCAATCTGACATGCCTATTACGGACCTGCTGCACCACACCAAACTCCTTATAGTACAAACACATGTTTTGTAGTGGAGAAGCAGCAGTATTATCTCTGTTCATGGCTCTGGAGGAAGTCTGAAGGTCCTGACTCTACTCTTTTACAGTCTGGACAGTTATTTGCATCCCATCAGAACAGCTGTGAAATATTCTCACCGATATGAAAGGAGAAGTCCAACTTGATAGCCTCACATGGGTGTGTTTGAGTGCCAAGAGGCACTGGGAAATCAGGCGCAAGCTGTCTCTCCTGCCAGACACTTTGATTCCAGTTTCCAGAAGCCATTGTGTGATTTGCCATGAGGTTCAGACAGTTTTTCTTTTTTAACACCTTTGGGAAATTAAATCAAGAATTAGTGGATTCATCCTTGTCTCCACTTACACACACTAAATCTACTACAGAGAGTCTGACACTGCTCAGCAGTTCTTACCGGAAGGGCTGCATACAAATCCAAGATGCTGTAATCAGTTATTAGGTGCATTGAAAAATGTGGTTTAGGAGCCTACACGTCATTTGTGTTTGCCCCATGTCTGATTTAGGTCACTGCTATTTATTTCCCTCATTTTCATGGAGGGTCAAAAGAGAGAATGTTTGGTGTCTGTGGCTTTTCCAAACCAACATTCTGAATGAATAATCACATTTCTTTAGTTGAGAGAATAAGCGCGAAGCATCTACGTCCTGCACTCACTAGTTGCACTTGCATGTTGCTAGTTTATTTTTGTAAAACATCTGTGCAATGGACTGTGAGCTAGGATGGAATTTCAGGCTTATATCTGAATTTCTTTGCATCAGTGGTCTTTTTTTTTAGTTTTAGATGAAATTTTAATATTTTGTCTGTGTTCATCTGCTGTTTTATCCTTATCTATGAAACAAGGGCTTGATCACTTGTCTTTGTCTGGCTGCAGCTGTGCCAGCTATAGAGGTTAATGTTTCCAGCCTTCCCCCAGATGCTCATAACTGCTTTCTCCCAGCTCCAGAATTAGCTGCTTGGGTGGGCGTTTTGTAACCTATTTCAGTTAAAATGAGCCAGGTTACCAAAGGAAAACTTTTTATACTGTTTAAGTTCAATTGGGCTTATTTTGGTTGAGGAGAGTTAGGGAATGTCCGCATGAGGGGTTCAAATGTGGTAACCTCCAACAGCTGGCAGTGACATGCATCTGGGAGACAAGCCTGCCTAAGGGCAGTATCCTCCTCAGAGTGCACATCAGTCAGCAGGTAGAAGATCAAGCCTGAGACAGTCAGGAAATCTCTGAAGTCAAATCCTGAGATGTTATTCCAACATGTATGTATTAATGTGAAACACCACGTTAGAGAGATTATGGTTACTTTTTTCACTTTGCCCCTTTTGGACTGAGAATATTTCAAATAGTGTAGCAGGTAGCATGTTACTCCTGATTATGCTTATCTAGATCAGGTTGTATGTGATGGCATATTGGAAGCAAGCGCATCTGTTGACAGGTTTTACTAGAAAATGTAACTCACAGCAGGGGAGACCCTGGTCTAAGTTAACCAGAGATAAAAAGCTACTTACTAGCTTAGTGTCAGTTGACCAGAAAAATAACAAACAGCCGTTTTGCCACTTTCCGTCAACCCTTAAACCATTTGGGCCTACAGCAGCAGTGAAAGAGCAGGAGTTCTGACTGGCTTATACATTTTCCACTGCAGATAGGATTAAAAAACAGTCAGAATTTTAAGTACCAGTTCTAAACGAATTAAAATGTTAACATCCCAAAGATACTTGGCAAGAATGACATACAGATGAAAAAAAAAACAAGTAAAATATGATGATCTTTAGTTTTTATCAGTTATTATTAGACAATGAGCCTAGTTAAGGTAACTGAATAAAAATATACAAATAAGAGGAAGTGAACGTAGTAAATGAATTGTGCTCCTACAGTTCCTGCCATGATGCTTTTAATGATCTGCTCCTTAGAACACCATCAATTTTTTATTTTTTTTAAGAGAAATCAGGTAGCTTGATTAGTCTATATATATAAAAAACAATCTGAGGAACAAATTCAATCAGAATACATTTTTTTAACATATAAAATTACTGAAAAGGAACAGGAAAATTTTAGCTTTTAGATATAACCTCATTTTTATTTCTTGAGAAAAGAGAGCCCTTAAGTATACAGACCTACACTGCTACATAGCTTGCAAAATCAGTCATGTTTATCTCACTGGAGTTGCTCCAGATATACAGTGCATATGGGAGTCCCTAAAATGAGAATCTGGCTCTGCAAACGTGAAGGTGGAAGGCAAGAGGAGATAAATTTGATATGATTGCAGAACTGTTTTCCTTCCCTGCTCAAGGCTGAGGAGTTGTTATGACACATCTGTTCAGCACACAGAGCAGGTAGGAGTTACATGGCATACAGTAGTTTTATCACAACAGATGGAATGATTTTAATTATAAAAGTTAAAGACAAAAGAATGCCAAGTTTCTCACTTCGCTTGTTGTGGTGTGTCTTAAAGCAGTTGTCATCAGTGGGTACCTCAAGGGGACACTTGGTTGCCTCTGAGAATTAGACCAGATTTAATGTTTCAGAACAGACATTAATAGAACAGCCCATTTCAAGGCAATAACATTTTTTCATCTCGTTTCTCTTTTTTTTAGGCAAAGCATATCCTTCCTCTCAGAGACCTCGGCCGAGCAGTCCTTTTTCCACTGACAGCAACGCCAGTGCAGCTGTCAATCAGAGTCAGAGGCCAAGGCCCACTAAAAAACACAAGGGAGGACGGTTGGACCAACCCCCCTTGTCTCATCGTAGGGAGGGACTAACAGATGGTAAGTGCTGTGGTGATGTACCTGATGATAACCTGCAACAAGCAGGTATGCAGACTGGGAGAACACAGAGCAATCTTTTAAGGAATATACATTACGGTGGATTATTTGTTTGGTGAAGCGGGGTCCCCAGGTTGCCATGTGAGCAATATTGCAATGAGAACGATGTGGAGCTTGGTTAAGTGATTCTTCAAGGAGTCTTTTTTATTTTCAGCTGTGAACATGTTAGAATCTCTTAGTTTTTCTCAGATCTCAATAAATCTTACCCAAAAATGACTGCGTTGCATGTGAGTTGACATTAAAAAAATGGCCTGTGGGTAATTTTACGTTAAAAGTAGCCACCACCAGCAGGAGCAGTATGTAGTGAATTCCTAAGGAGATGCATAGAGTCAGTCTCAAACTCTCTGTTTGGTTGGTGCTATTTTTGACAGCCACCCAACAGCTACAACAATATGTGCCATGCTTTTCTCATGATTCTGCCTCACGTCTTGTCTGTGCTGCTTCATTCCTGACATCCGCTGACCTCAGTGACTTGGTTTCCCTCTTTGACATCTCCACTTCTTTCTAACCACTGCTTCCCATCTGGAAATTTCAGGCATATCTTTTCTGCTCTTCTAATGACTAAGATCAGCTTAATCTTCCATTATCTTTGTCCACCCCCTCTTGAGTTTGGCAAAAGACAAAATTCCTGACTGCTATTCTTTGAGGAGGACTCGATAGGAAAGTGGCTGACTGGCTACCTCCCCCTCGTTTCTTCTGATCTCCGTCCTGGCCCCAGTAGGTGTTGAAATGATCAGAGGAGAGAAGAAGGCAAATGGAAAAACAGCGTTAAAGGAATTGCTAAGGATATCTGTAATGCCATGCAGATGGAGGTGTGATCACTTTCCTTATGCTGACCTCTCTTTCAGTGTTCAAAGTGGGGCAATTCTGAAAGCTAGACTGTCTCACCTGCCTCAGTGGCTCTTGTAACACTATCTGGACCATGGGAGTGGGTGTGATGCCAGTGAGTCTATCTCTTAGTCTTAAGTAAACCTGACAAATCTTCCAGTGTATGGGGAAGGTGTGACAATAATAATAAAAAAATACTTTAGATTTCAATATAAACATCCTCCTTATTCTAGTAAAAATTACTTGAGAATCATAGAATATCTCGAGTTGGAAGAGACCCATAAGCATCATCAAGTCCAATTCCCTTCGTTATTTTCTTTGGACAGGTAATGTAATGAATAGAATTAATAGAGAGTATATTTAGTTTGCTTTATTTATAATGTGCTATTTATTACTCTAGGTGCATGTGTAAAATATATTAACAGCTTGCAAAGTGGACTGTGGCCACTAAAACCACCAGAGCTCTCCTCCAGTCATGTAATCAGGTGTACAGATATAATTTTGCAGTGCGTTTTGATGGATTCCTTGTTTGTCAAACCACAAAGATGGAAATCAGATTCCAAAAGTGAGTCTTCACCAAAGGCTTTATAGTTACATCTCATGCTCTATGGCTTATCCACACTACCATGTTATTTGTGGAAACAGCTTAAAGTAGCTTAGACTCCTCTCAGATGGATCTGAATTGGTTTAAGCATTAATGCCCTGTATTTCAGATGCCTCCCTACTAAACAGGTCCGTTAAATAGATGTGTCTGTGAGAATAGTAACTGGAGATTGTGGGTGTCACTTGTGGTGCTAGCAATACTCTTTCTGTGTATAAGTTAAGTCAACCCTTCTGTGTGGCATATCCCGTAACCCTGAACTCTGAGCCTTTTGGGCCACAAATTCTGTGTACATGTGAGTTTGTAGTGCGCTCAGTATGGTGGGACTGTCATCCTTCTGCTTTTGAATGCTATTACTATGGAAATGTTTATCAATAATGTGAGTACCAGAAAATTAATGAGAATCCAGTTCAGGTCAGGAGACAGATGGAAGTGTGACTCCTCAGGGAGTGACTCCATCATAAAATCTGGCATTGTTTTAAATTAGTGAAAGAGATCAGATTTTAAGATCTACTTTAAAAGAGGAATCTCGATTGTCTTTTATTTGTTCTTTACAAAATACTAATCTTATTGAAGTTTCTTTCATATATTTAAGTCAGAATACCAATGATATAACTATCTCCTTCAACAATCCACCTCTCAGACCCAGGTGGTAACCATAGCAGCTTTCAGACACTGTTAACCTAACATTTGTCTGTTGTAAACCTACTTAAAGTGCTTGCTATATGTTCCAAACATTTATAATGTCCGGGAGTAATAGAGGATCCTTTCCCATCCTCTCTTACCACAGTAACAAACAAAAACAAATTGTACAGTTTTTCCACTTTAACTCTTACTGAATATGAGTCATTAAAGTGTAACAGCAAGTCTGAGTCATAGATAAATTTGTAAAAGAACATTTGTCAATTAAGGAAGCTAAAGATTGCTGTTGCCATCTGTATGTATGTAAACAAACTGAATTTAGGAAACTCTGGCATACAAAAATTAAAAATGGTAACTGGATGTTTTGCGTGGAATATTACTCTGAACTTTACAAAGAGAGACAATACCACTACGCTTAAGCTACAGTTAGAAAAAGCAAGTAGGAGAACCTGGGATAGATCCAGCAATTCTAAGCCCTGATCCAGAGCAGTCTGTTCAAACCTGGACCATTCTGATTTCAGTGGGAAGCATCACTGTGCATTTTCTCCTGGTTTTGAGATGTCTCCAATCCATTGCCTTACAACTGCTTCTTCTTGGATTTGTCATATGAGAACATAGTCTGTTTGTCAGTCAAATTCCCCAGTTGGATGAGTCCTGGCATCCTGTGTTTAAGTCTCATCACATACTGGCTGTCTGCCATTTTAAATTTTCATTGACCAACTAAGCTCCAGCCACTTCCTTTCTCTGCCCTTTCCCAGACATATCCTGAGCACTTCCTCCTTCTTAACTGTAACCATGTGGGAGTGTGAAAGACCTAAGAAACAGTAATATTGAACGCATAGCACGCAGATCCCAGACTATGTAAGCATATGAGGATACAACTTCAAGCTTACTTTTGACAGGAATCCACACAAATCCCCTAAAAGCCTGCTTCTTCATTTTCTTCAGTCACAGGTCAGAATCCGCTGGAGTCTGACTTTAGATTAAGTCTTCCTATTTGTCTTGCTGTACAACTTGATTTTTAACTTCCTCATGCTAAAAGACCATGGAGACAACAGCAAATCCACAGAGGAAAAATACCTTATGAATCCCTCAGATGATGAAAACCTTCATTCTGAGCTCACAGTCCACCACAAAAAACAAATAGGACATTTTTACTTGTAGTGCTCAAGGAGTAATTTATTTTCCTGGAAACAATGCATTCACATATTGCAAAACAGTGGAATCTGTCATATAAGTGGTGGCATGGTAACTGTGTGACTGAAGTTAAAAGCTCTTCCTTAGCTGAGTATTATGTTTAAAAAAAACAAAGAGGAGGCAGGAGGGAAATATGGTTAGGGGTTAAGGAGAAGAACTGGAACTTAAGGCTTCTATTAGCTTTGCCACTGACTTGCTATCCTGTATTACAAATCAGTTTTTGTTAAGGTAGATCACTGTAGAGAAGATGCTTACCTTCTGATGCTAGAAAGTGGTTCAGAGGCTTAATAAATGTCACGGTAATTATCACCCCTAGGAAAACAAATCACTGGCACAGGTAGAAAGGAATGTCCTTATACTTGTAGATTCTGTAACTTGCTGCTTTTTCCAGTTAATAATGAGAGGCTGTGCCAAAGCTTGACTGGTGCTTGAATTAATTTGGCCAATGCTTTCCCTTCTAAAGGAGGACTGGAACAATCCCAGGCTGAGCATTCATCTGCTTCTTATCAGGCACTCTGATGTCCTACAGCTTCTCAGTCACAATCCCTCCACTACTACATGAGTAAGACCATCACCTCCCCACCAATGCATTTATAACTTGCCTTGCAGGTTTGATAATCCTGCCATTAGAGGCTGCAAGGGGGAGTCTGGATGACATCCCACTAGACGAGTAAATTACTAGCTCAGGTTTTTTACCTTGCATCTGGAAGATTAATTTCATTAAGATGGAAGTACAGTGATAATCAGTGGTAACGCTCTGGGTATCCTCACTGAAAATCCTGAAGTCCCCAAATTTCTAGATTCGAAACTTCTCTGAAGTGTTTGATGTGATGGAATGAGTGGTAGTCTGGATGACATCCCACTAGACGAGTAAATTACTAGCTCAGGTTTTTTACCTTGCATCTGGAAGATTAATTTCATTAAGATGGAAGTACAGTGATAATCAGTGGTAACGCTCTGGGTATCCTCACTGAAAATCCTGAAGTCCCCAAATTTCTAGATTCGAAACTTCTCTGAAGTGTTTGATGTGATGGAATGAGTTGACTCGCCTCTGTGTGATAATAAGTCTGCCAGTCAGGGACTGAGACTACCAACTTGGCTGATCTCTGTTACCCCTTTACTAGCAGCTGAAATGCCAACCACTAACCATCATGTGTATGCATACTCACAAGTGTGCGTGGAGACACGTGCACAGTCACATATGGACATGTTTGGCTGGGAAGTGAGAGGAGAGGCAATGTCCTCTGTTGCATTGGAGGAGGAAACTCCTGATTTCAGATACACGAGGTTTTTATATAAGTCCAGGTGAGATAACAGAGCATATTTAGTAATTTACTTAAAGCAGAAGATTTGCACTACAGGATTTAAGTTGTAGAGCAAATAAAAAGCCACATTTCCAAATTCAGCTCTCTGCCAGCTTCTTTTATTAAAAAGGAAAGGCAGGTGTTACTGTGACAATCAACCTGAGTAAGAAGGTGAAAAAGCAAACAGTTTAGTCAGGTGATGGTTGGCTAGAATTAGTATCTGTTCTTACAGATCTTCTCAGACATGTCTAACACAGTTCAGTAAGTCTGTACTCAGGCTGGAGTCAGCTTGCATTAATTCCATAGTACCTGTAATTCATCTAGAATTCTGCGAACCTTCATCAGAAGAGAAATTTTATTTTTCATTTCAACTCATCCACAGGTCTAAAACACCCAAGGAACTTTACAGACATGTTTTTTTCGTTTCACTGCTATCACACAATCACAGAATGTTAGGGATTGGAAGGGACCTCAAAGGATCATCTAGTCCAATCCCCCTGCCTGAGCAGGACCACCTAGATCAGATCACACAAGAACGCGTCCAGGCGGGTTTTGAACATCTCCAGAGAAGGAGCCTCCACAACCACTCTGGGCAGCCTGTTCCAGTGTTCTGTTACCCTTACTGGGAAGAAGTTCTTCCTCATGTTTAAGCAGAACCTCCTATGTTCCAGCTTATATCCATTTCCCCTTGTCCTATCATTGGATGCCTATGTATCAGGCAATCATTATGCCCATTTTTCAGACAGATAAAAGCAAGAATCAGGTTAACTGTAGATCAGCAGCATAAGTCTACAGTAATTTCAGGAGTTGCAGCTAGCTCTAGAACATGCAGTACAGTTTAAGTACAAACCTTCTTTCCTTCTCAGTATCTAATTAATAACAACTATTAGCAATTTCTGAAGAATGGTACTGTATGTTAAGAAGTTTGATAGTACAATAATCTTAACATTTTTTTTTGCTATGATACTACATAAAATTTTGTTTATATTGAATGGTAAATATTTTATCTTGGAAAATTGCATTGTCAAATGTCATGTTATGACCATCTTTATTGGACTCAATGCATCTCCATAAAGTGCTTATAAATCACAACTTCAGTAATCTCTATTTCAGATTGCATAAGCAAATGCCAGTGTTGTGGTTCTGTACATTAACTGGTTATGATTGCAATAAAATCAATTATAAGAAATGCCACTTTGGAAGCCAACACTGTAAAGCAATTTTAACATTGGCAAGCTCCCATACCCTCCTGCTTCCACCTACAGTAACTCAAGTATAGTCATTGTCATGAAAGGTCACATCTATATTCATAACTAAAAATTTCTCAAATAAATTAGTGCTGAACATAAAGCATACACCAAACTCACTGACAGATTATTATAAGGCTGTTGTAGCCAGAAGATAGATATCTTAATCTAGGGTATGGCACTTCAGCTGTGAACAAAGGTACGGGAGCGACATCAGATACAAGTTCTTTCCCCTGTAGACACAAATAACCGACACGTCCTCATTTATCTGTAACAGACAACGTTGACTGGAATGACATCTCAGCAACTTTGGAAGCATTTCTGTCCCCCATATGAGATAAAAGTATTACCTCTTAACAGCAAGGACATGAAAAAAAAAGTCTATGTAGCATTATATAAAGCTGGATTACAGCCTTCAAAATAAATTCACTCCAAAGGTCTCCTCACCAATTTATAAAATTAATTTCAGTTTCACTGGAGTTATAAACATCAGACTTTCCTGCGGGCAAAGCAAAGGTTTACTTTTCCATGCTTTTTATTGAGCCAAGTTCAATTCCTTGACAAACTTTGACAACATTGTAAGGTACAAAAGACTAGAAAGAAGGACAGACCCATATCTAGTGTAGACTAACATAGGTTTAGTGAAGTCGATGGGGCTGTAGGGATTTATTTGGACTGTGCATGGCTCAAAACCAGAATTATCAACAAATGTTCTTCATATAAAACAGATATCCTCTATGGGAGTGTTTTCATGACAATACTAAAGGCACTTCCGTTTTCTGATTTTTTTTTATTTATAATTTGAGGCTTTTCTGGACTGTTATAAGTCTGTCATATAGTTTACAAGAAAATCTTACATTTAGAGTTATAATTATCCTGATTCTATTATTACCATGGGTCAAGGACTAATAAACAAAATGTACTTCACAAATGTGATTAGAAGCGTGATCTTCAATTCTACAAGCATCTTAGTAGTCCGAGTCGTAAACTTGAAAAAAACGAGTTGTTGAAGACCAGGCAAGTGTCTTTCAGTGTTCAGCTGAAATTATATTTGGATGGTTATATTTGCAAGACTACTAAACCTGACAGTGCCCATCCTCTTGTCTATGAAGACTCTAACTCTTAGCTGAACTTTCAAATAGTGCTTGAATACAATGCTCATCCATTGTTTGGTGGTCCCGTTTAAACATGCATTTTTCACAGACGTGTTGATGCTTTTTCAATGACCGTACGTTTTGTGAATAATTTTTTCCCGAAAATTTTGTGATATTTTATGCATTTTCATAAAGTTGTGTAGTTAGATTTTGAGTTTAAGCCCAAAGCTGAAAGTGAAGCCCAAAAATAGGGGTCATGATGCAAGGCCCAATATGATGAGGGGAAATTACTGTCAACTGTACGCTTGCTGTTACTGAAAGAGCCAGAGGGAGCATACCCCAGGGAAAATAAACCCCATGCTTAGAATGGGAGTCAGGGCTCATAGTCTATTGATTTTTATGGAAGTTAGAAAGAGCTAGCAACTCAGTAACCTGAATAAAAAGCTAGTGGAAGGTAAAAACACGTTTCTCATTACATGAAATTTCCTCCTTTTAAAATCAGCAAAGTGATTCATGCCATTTGCAAGGGACTTTTCTTTTCAGCATCAAATAGACCATCTGTTTCAATTAAAATATTAGTTCATCTAAATCTTATTCACGTTTTTTAGATCTTCCACCACCACCCGACCCGCCCCCTGGTCAGGGTTTAAGGCAGCAGATAGTCCCCGGCCAGCGTGGAGGCTCGGCAGAGAGGAAAGGAAGCTCTCTTGAGAGGCAGCATGCACCGAACGTAGATGAAACAAAGAGCTCCCTGGACCGGCAAGCTAGGACATCACTAGAGTGGCAGCGGCAGACCCAGGAGTGGATAAGCTCTACAGATCGCCAAGAAGATTTCAGGAAAGCCCAACACAAACAAGCCTTCGGATCAGGTGTGTGTGCGCTGCACCGGCCGAGGCAATGCAGACGGCTTCTTGACGCTTCTCAGCTGAGGGTTTCTGTATCTGGCAGGAGTCTAGGATCCCCTCACGCCCCTCTGTGCTCCAGAGAATTCTCTGTATGACAGAGAATCAACCCTCTGGCGAGGCTCGTGCTGGAAAATAAGAAAAGGCAAAGTGAAGGGAGAGCTCGTGATCCAAATACTCTCTCTTCTGCAAAAGCGAAATCTCATTAGCACCTGACTCGGTGCATTCTTTACAGTGTTTTGGCAATTAGTACTGTTGTGAAGCAAAGTGGTGGAAAAAATAGGAGCCATTTCAGGCAGACGGAGAAGGAGAAACAGATTTTAGAGTATTTCTTAGATGTGTTTATTTATAGATATAGGGCCATGTTTTCTAGTTCTTTCAACCTGCTTCACAATTGGCAGCAGTTGGTTTTACATGTCTGCAAGAAGGCTGATCCTTCTGAGCTACTGACATTCCTTCCAACTGTATATAAAACACTGTCTTCTCCTTATTCAAGTATATGACAAAGTAATGTTCATCTCTTAGGCCCAGCAAGATGACAGCACAGGTTTTCACCTTTATACAGGACCCGCTCATTGTCAAGTGCTGATTTTATCTCCTAAATGTATTTCAAGTCCGTAAAGTATGCAGGAGGCAATGCTGAGCTGGAGTTGTAGTTCTACAATACTTGCAGAGTCCTTCTCTCAGCTTGACCTCAAGTAAAAACTGCTGTTTCAGATACCCTTACTAGGGTATTTTCTTTAACCCACTAATCACATGTTATCCTAGTGCTGATTAGAGTGATACGAGATGACAATTAAAAAGATTAAAAAAAAAATTGTATTATACATGGATCTTGCTGTAGGGCTACACTATTTCTTCAAGTTTGTGTGGTGTGTAGCTCCCACAGTAACACTAGAGGTACTCATGTTGTCCTTCTTTAAAAATAAAAAATTGTACTATACATGGATCTTGCTGCAGGGCTACACTATTTCTTCAAGTATGTGTGTAGCTCCCACAATAACACTAGAGGTACTCATGTTGTCCTTCTTTTTCTTGATTTTATTCTACTATTTATTCTCCTTGATAATCTAGCACACTAATATCAATGACATTCTAAAAAGAAAATACTAGTATGCAGGCAAACCTGTCAAGGGAGCAGGATTTGCTGAATAAAGTCCTCCTAGGAAATATTGTCGCCCATATTTAAAATGTGAATATTTTATATACAATCTACATTTTAAAATATAATAATGATAACATTAAAACCCCCTAATTTTTCAGCTGCATAAAAAAGTGAGTGGTTGTTCATGTTGTGAAATGATAATGTGAAGTCGCAGTTTAAAAATAGTGTGTGAAATTCATGCTGCTTGGTGTAATGGCAATTTTGATTACAATGTACAAGATGTACATACACACAGAAAATAGCCCAAATATCCTTTTTACATCTCTTTTCCTTGTAAATTATTATTTAGTATGCTTCCCTGACCTGATTAGCAAGAACTCCCCTCCTTCTTCTCTGCTTCAGAAGTGTGTAAATAGAAGTTGTCAGTTGTTCTGTGATACAGAGGGTATACAGTAGCAAAATTCCCTTCCTGTAGGACTTGTATTTATCTGTCCTTAAATAAGAAGAACTTGATCTTGATACTTCCGATGCCCTACCCGAGCGTTGAATTTGGGGCTGGTGCAATTACAGGCATCTCGTTCTTGTCAAATTCAGCATGACCAGAGGAATTGCATATCCTTTATGCATGACAAAGGATTCCTCTAGGATATATTACAGTTTCACCCTGGTAGGAGAGGTTCATAAAGTTAGTGCAGAAGGTGGGCCAGAGCTTTGTCTGTCTGTCTTCTCATCCCAGCTTCTCGCACTACAGCTTTCTTGCTCTGTATTCTTTTCTCTGGTAGATTTTAAAAAGGCTACTCTTGTGTACGATGCTTGTTTCTATTACTAAATTTTGGGGTTTTAATAATACTAATTGTGCTTCTTCCCTTTTCCTTTATTAACGACAAAGATCTCTGGAAAGCTATTCTGTCCTAGTTTTCAATATATTTCCAAAAGGAGCTATTATTAGCTATCACCTTCCAGAGAATAGCTATTTTGCTGCTTAGGGGGCTTCATTCAGACATTGCCAAGCTGTGAGTGAAATTTCGAAAGCAAGACCTTTGGTTTTAAATTGAATAGAATAAAAATATCTAATTCTGGGAACCGTGTTTCCACTGGTTGCCTTCAGTATAAACAAGATCACTGAGTTCCTGCCAATGGCTTCATTGTGGAACTGCAGTTAGAGCACATCAAATACGACATTCTCAGTTGCCCTCTAAAAAAAGCAGTGCTAGATGAAGTTACAATAGCTTTGATAATATCAAAAGCCTTTTGGTTATCTCATGGGGTATAGAAAAATCGTTACACACATATATCCTGATTTCACAGGGTCTAGAATTATATCTTCAAATTAAAGGCTCCATATTTCAAAGAGAAAGACATCAGCAAAGCCTCCCCATATTCTTTCCAGGCCTGGGCCATGTGGCACTGTTTTGAGTGTTTAATAAATGTGACCCCGTTCTAAGGACTTGAGACAACTACCTTTCGCGTGCTGGAATGTTGTGAAAAATTTAGCCTTTATTTTATGTCACAATTGCTTATTTTATGGATTGCGTTTATTTCTGAGGGCACAACAGATAATTTAACACACCATATGCTCTATAATGATAATGCACTTTATATTTATTCATGGTCGTTTTTTTCTCAATATTTCATTGAACCCGAAGGAGGCCTTATCCTGAGTCCACAAACTAGAAAAACAAATCAGTTGACCATATATGTCATCTTCAAACTCTTTTGCAATGCTAGTGACTTTTCTTTCCGTCCTTTAAAAATGTATCCAGCTTTCTGCTAAACTGATTTATGCTGCTTCTTTATTGCTGCCTTAATGCAAGCTGTTCCATATTTTAGCCAGCCTTTCGAAACCAGGTTTGCATCTGATTCTGTTGTTAGAGCTTGATATATAAAGAACAGGTAACATAATTTAGGAGGCTTTGGCTGTTAAATGCCATTTTACTATGTCTTTTAAGTGTTTCTTTATATTTCTGCAAGGACAGCACACGGTCATAGCACAAAACACTGATAATGCCCTTACGTCCTGCAGCGCAAATATTCTGGTCCCTTGGGCAGGACCAGAGGGAGATCCTTTGGCAGAGAAAGCAGCCAGCTGCCTGCTCTCTTCCGCAACAGATTCACCTTGCAAATGGGTTCTGTTCAATAGCGGATCACAGGGGGAATTCCCATGTCCTACTCACTTGTGGCAGTAGGCACAAAGAATGAAATCCTGGGTTTCTTCCACAAATTTGTTCTCATTTAGCATTTCCCTAAGTTAATTGTGCCTCTGCTGTAGCCTTTGCAAAGCCTTCAAGGTTGTGAATAAAAGCCTCTCTTTCCAACCATCCCCACCTATTTTTCCTTCTACGTTCCTACGTGCTGTCAGAGAAAGTCTGTTTCTCCTCATCAGATGGTTTAGGAGTGAAGACAATTGGAAACGCAAAATAAAAAAGAACGTTTCAACCCAGATTAATTTTAAAAAATGTAAGATTGAAGCAGGAGATATCCCACTGATTTCAGAAGGGGCAATTCCTCTGTTTGAGGTTAAGCATATATACTCATGATATTTCTTGAATCAAACTCTATTTAGCAAGGTCTCTTTCTTCAGGTTCTGAGGCAGCACAGCAAAGAAGTAAAATAGTGCTTCTATTTCAGTGTTAAATCAGTGCTGCTTTTTTGCTTCTTAGGTTAGGATTATTGTAACAATATCTCCTGGAAAATCTAATCAGATGTGATGTCTTGATTTACTTCATGCTATAAGAAAGCACGCAGTCCCATGCTTTATTGGTATTAATCCTGGTCTCACAAGCAGTTCATTGTTACAGGTCTTCACAAAGGAAGAGGCCAAGTGAGCAAAAGTAAGCCTTTTGCTCATAATGGAACATGACACAAGCTGCAGGAAGATTTACTCACCCCAAATATTACAACTGCTAATATTATGTATAATATAATATTTTCCAATGTAATTCACAATCAGTTAAAAAACTCTTCAGTGTACTTTGCATTGTTAGAAATTACTGAGCTGCTGGAAGCTAATTAAATTAGCTGATATTGTAGTTCTTTATTTAAATTGATTGGGGTAATGTTACCATAATTTAAGCTAAAGAAAAGGAAAAAGCACATTCATGTAGGCTTGAAGCAAAAATCTAATCATAGCTGCATTGTTTTGGAAATTGTATGTACATCTATTTTTATTAAAGTATCTGTGATTCATGATCTATTACTTCATAATGAATGTAGACTTTTTATAATTAATACAAACTAACTTATGGGTTTACACGAAAGCAAGATTAAATTCATGCTGATTTCTTTGTGGAATGCAACATTGAGTTGTGTGTTTTCTGAGGTAAAATTGCCATGCTATAAAGCAAGACAAACGACAGATATCTGACGGCAGGAATGAATCTGATGCCCATGTAAGAGTAGTTTGATTATTCCTACTTATAGGAATTTATTTGGTATTTATTTTGTTTTGATTTGCTTTTCTAGAAGAGGCACTCGTACCGTATAGTAAACCCAACTTCCCATCCCCTGGCGGCCACAGCTCTTCAGGAACAGCTTCTTCTAAAGGATCAACCGGACCTAGAAAAGGTGAAGTCTTGCGAGGAGGTCACCAACGCAATGCCAGTGACCTTCTCGATGTAGGCTATGTGGGATCAAACAGTCAAGGACAGTTTACTGGTGAATTATGTAAGTTTATCTCTAGCTACAGTTCAAACTCTCAAAAAATTAGAAATCTGTTCTGAAGAGAGGAGGAAGTTGAGTGTGATAGTGAGATTAAATTTTACCCAGATCTTTTTACCTTCTGAGTTGTTTTGCCTGTGATGACAAACAAATTAAGTTATTCTCTTCTTTGGTTGGGACCAGTTTAAATCTGTGTAAGCCGTGAAAGTGTTAGCTACGCTGTGCACTTTTCAGTGTGTAGTGAAACACTGAAAAAATTGAAAATAAATTCTAGTAATTTAGAATTTTCTTGGCAAAGTGTAGTATGCTTGTCTTGGAAATGCCTTTGGTGGTTTTTCTCAGAGGAGTGAATGAAAAGGGTGCTGAATTTGTTGGGCATGGTGATAAGCTTGTGATGCCTTCTCCTTAACTTTCTGTTGCTCGATGAGCAAGTATTCTGCTATTTTTGACCTTAGATGGAGGTTCTCTTTTTTTCAACTGTGTAGCCCACTTTTTCAGTTGTATATCCCAACTCTTTCCTCAACTTCCCAGGCCAGGGGAATTATTCTCTGAAGTTTTTTTCCATTATCACTCAATGTCTGTTAAAGGTTTGTATAAAACCATGTTAATGCTGGGTACGTGGTGGTAGTACTGGATGCCAAAAGGTTTGATCCTATTAGTTCTATTAGTTGAAGTAGTACATCGACATCCCAGGTAGCTCAGGCATACTGGTATGTTTATTAGTGAAAGTAATGCAGCTGTTGGCCTGTCTGCCTGCTATTTTCTGCAGTCAAACTCCCAGTACCTCCCGACAGGTACTGCCCAGTAGCTTGTAAGCGAGCTAATGGTGATCCACAAACCCTGAAATGTGCTAGCTCAGATACCGTGTCTGTAAGTGCTGAATTTTAGCATCTGTCACTTTTCAACTTAGAAGCAATTAACTCTCTTCTCCCGCCCTGTTGAACATTCACCCTGTACTGCAGTAATATTGCCGTAGGCTTTGTTTTGTGTTTTTCCTCCTTATTACAACCTCTTTCTCTCTCTTTGTTTCTCTCTATAGAGTAGTTGAGAAGACACATTGCAAGCTGCTCTGATGGACCATCAGGTCTGAACTCATGGAAGTGATGACACTAAACAGTGCAATGAACATTTTCTTTATTTATGTACTATTAAAAGAACTGTAAATGCAATGTAAAGACACACAGCCACACATATCCCACAGATACTTTACTTGTGTTCTTCTCTTTAATACACCATCCACCTTAAACTATTCCTTGTCAGGAGTATATAAAAAAGAAAAAAAAAAAAGAAATCACCCTCCAGGATGAAAAGGATTTCCTTCTGTATATAATTTCTTTTGTTGCATTGCTATGCAAGCTCACCTTCTTTTTAGCTATGTTCATATTCATGTCTGTTTTTATTGGTCTGTTGTACTATATGTGAATTAATAGGCTGTGGTGCCATATATTAACTTTTAATTGTGTAACTTTTATGTTTAAAGTTTGCACTGCAATTTTATTTGGTGATAAGCACAAAACTCTACTCCTCATGACATGAAGAAAAAAAGACTGAATGTGTGAAGGTTTACGTACTGGAAGCTACTTTGGATAATGCTGGATGTAAAGGAGTACGTTAGGTGGTTTTCCATTGGGGTGTAGAAATGAGAAAGTGACAGGCAAAACTGATGTCAGGGAAGACATTAGAGACAGATTTAAATCTTTTAAAAGCAAGCAACATAGTTGCTCTTCCTATTTAAGAAGGGGTCAGAAGTTGGAAGTGTGAGATTAAAGAGTGAATATGAAAATTAAAGGTAGCATGAGATGGCCTAGACCCTTTCACTAGAATGATGCCCTTAGTATCTGTTTTTAGCCATACCATGCCACTAAGTAAAGGGGAAGAAAAACAAACCTTGCTACAAGCAAATGAACCTAAGGTGTTTCACTAAAGCTGTTTTTATATTGCAGTTTTAAAAAAAAATATTACCATTAATTTCTCCAATCCAGAATATATGACAGAGATTTCCCAGGAGAAACAAACAATATAAACTCAAGGAATACCTAGTAAGTAGTTAAGGATGCAATTCATTATTAAGACATATTCAGGCTGCTTCCAAAAAATTGAAATGTCAGAGTATCGTATTTCGTCTTTCCAATACATGTACAGTACAATAGAGGATAGAGCTGCACCACTGAAATTCATGACTTTAATTGTTTTGATGCAGTCTAAACAAACCTTTGTGTTCTGTTACTTGAAGTCTGCGAGAACTGAAGCTGGATCCACTAAATTTGCAGTAGAATGTTTAGTGTTTGGAAAGAAAGCAATGGTCAAATTATTTTCGGCTTGCGTTAAGTATATTTCTGGCAATACAATACATCCAAAAAGTTGGATATAAGCAAAGAAAATCTTTGACCTGTGTTTTAGTGAGCAGCTTCAAACCCTAGTATGATGAGGAAATAACGCATGTTTATACACTTTTTGAATAAATCGAACTCTGTAAGTGGACATTAATGACAGCATCCTGTCTCTTCATTAGTTTTCATGACTTTGTCCAAATCTTCTGTACCTCTCAAATCTCAATGAGTAAATCGTCAAACTTTTCTTAGAATATTGTATGTGGATAGCCCACTCATTTGATGCTTTAATTCAAATATTGCATCCTACAGCTTATTTCTGTTAGTTATCTAACCATGAACACAAGTTTCCATTTGAATACCCTTTTTGTATAACCAGTCTATGTTGTTTTATATATTGCCTTGGAGCTCACCAGTATTATGAACACTTTTAGTAACGGCAGATTTTTAGAAAAGTAAATTACAATGCTGAATATGTGTTGCTTTTCATTTCATTAACTTGTTCCATGATAAGATAAAACACTATAGCCATCAACTATGACTCAGCACTACTGAATATTAAAAAAATGCTAGTTAACTTCCTTAAGGTCAAGACTGTTATTTAGCAGATTACAAACCAAAAAGAGTTGAGCAAAAAATGTATGCATTTATTTATATATGTGACCAATGAATATATGTAATTTTCCTGCTTGTTAAACCATTATAGTTAAAACCATTACTTAAAAATGTGCAAAAACGTTCAAGTAAGATAAAGAAAGCATCACATTTACATATGTATGGTTTTTATTTTGGTATTATCATATGAAGAGAAGACTATTCAGGGTACAAGTCAAATTTAATTCTCTGCAAAATCTTTAACTCAGTCACTGGTTGATTTATTTTTTCCTTTTCATTCAAGAGTGTGTGCTGAGCTTTGGTGGAACACCTTACTCACTATATTCTATTTGAAATTCAGTATCGTTAGACATTGATAAAACCATCCCAATTACTTTCAAATATGTGTTTTATCTCTTCCACTGGAAAGTAAATGTGTGTCAGTATTAAAGCTGTGCAGTACCATGATATTCACTAACTTGTCCATCTGCTTCTGTACATTTTTGTTCATTAATGATTTGCTTACAATATTACATAAGGTGTTGTTGTGTATCGCAAAGTGTCTCCATTATCTTACAGGTGATGTCTCTTCTTTTTTTTTCTTTCTCTCTTTTCTATACAGTGTACTTCCAATGAACCACAGTACATATTTTTTAAAATGCCATTTAATTTACTATTTTAAAAGAAGTATTCTTTTTTTTAAAAAAATTGAAAACATTTATTGTGAATAATGTGTTTAAAGAAAAGGGATGTTGTGGCAGCACTTAGAATTGTTTTTTAATTTGTTTTTCTAAAAAACTGTTTATTGGCTACAGTTTGTTCACGAAACAGTATGACCTCTTAATGTGTTTCATTGGTATTGTTAGTGCAGCAAAGTTTAATTGGCATAAAAAGTTGGTTAATAGTACTGTTGAAGTGTGTATTGTATATTTACTGGGGAAAAATAAAACGTATTCACATTTCAAATCTATGTTAAAAGACCTTGAGTAAGGAGTCGATATGTGAAAACCCAAACTGGGAAAATCAGGCAATAATAACATAGACTGAGCTATGATCATCACTGTCCACTTACAGTAACAAGGAACATTTTGTATGCTGATTTTTTGAGCTAAGCTAACTGCTGTCTTATAAATAGGCCAGTGGTAAACGTTGCCTGTCACAGAGATTTCTATTTAAGGTCCTGTCTGTATCGGGAATAGTTGTACCAATGTAATTACACTGATACAGCTATTCTAGTGGCACATCCTCCGCTTGTAGACACACTATCTCAGTGTACAGTAAGGACCACAAGCACACAGCTTGCTGTGCTTAAAGCCCATAAAGTCAAGGACGTGTAAAACCTGTGTTCAGCGGGCCTGAATGCTTGGTTTTGGTATTTTGTACGGGTGGAGCTACTGCCAACCCAGTACAGAATATCCCCAGAAAATATAGATGGATGCTAGGTCAATTTTTCTCAATCTTTGCATTGACTGTATACTCAATTTTAAATACAGGAGGGCTGAAGGACCAAATAATAAATTGTTACATGTGCTTCAGTGGTGTATTGCTGTATGGGCAGCCATTTCAGTGATGCAAACAACAGACTTTTCTTTTTTTTTGTCATTTATTGTTTCTCAAGTCCTTATCCGAGTCAGTAAACCTTTTGAGTAACTTTTGCTTGTCACCTGAAATACAATAGAAACACTGTTCCTTGGGAAAAGGACGTAAGAAAAGGAGCATGGAGTGTTTTAAGTATATTGATTTAACTATACAGCAATGCAAAGGCAGATAAGACTGTTTGAAATAATAATATGGTGGCTTATGCTTGCCTCAGCCTGTACCTTGCCAGCCAGGAGAAAAGGTGTGTACTGAGGCTGAGAAAGAGTCCTCGCAGCTGACAGAGGAAATGGAATTGGGTTGGGGGAGATTCTGGCAGGAACGTTTTCTTTTTTAAAAAAATATAGGCAGCTCCTTTGGCTTTTCTACAATTTATGCAGTTTGGGTTTTTTTATGATTAACGGCCTTGTGGAAATTTAGCTGGGGAACTAGAAGAAAAAAAGTTGGCTTTCTTTTATAAAGATTGGGGGGAATTTGTTTGCTGAGGGGAGGATTTTTTAATTTCATTTTTATTTTTTTAACACATGTTTTGTTCCGTCTATCGGGAACACATTAGCTAAAAATAAATTATATTTGAAAACCATGCGGGCGATGGACAATTCATTTAGGTGGTACATTCAAATGGCAGGAAAGATGGCAAAGAGCAATACTAAAAAAGGGAACACGTACATTGCCTTAGAATCAGCCGAGTCCACTACAGTTTCACATGTAGTTCTAAACTGTTGATAATACAGATAAGCTTCGTTGCTTTTGGTTTCCATACCAAAATAAATTATCCAAAGTCCACAGGAGGCTTGAATCCTCAGGACACTAAATCTGGTACTTTGAATATGTGGTTAATCCAAGCCAGTGGGACTAGAGTACGCTGAGGGTGTACGAGCCCCCGGCCCTGGCTGCTCGTGCCCCAGCAGTCTCCAGCTGGGAAGCGCAGGTGGCTTCAGGCTCAGCAGGTTTCGATGGGTGCCTTCACTAACACCTTGTTGGGCATCAAGTCTGTAGAGGCAGGGCACTTCACCGAGGGTGGAGTTTTTCAAGGCAGGGAAGGTCTCCGGTGAGTTAGGGTGGTTCACTTAGGCAAGTCTCACGTTTTGGGACCACCCTCCCTGGTCCTTATCTCAGTGCTGTCCTGCTATGGTCTGTGTACTCAATGCTGCTGCTGTCCCCTGGATCTGACATGCCTGACATGAAAGGTGCAAAAAAAGAAGCAACATGGTGGTGCTGGGGGACATTAATGCTCTGCATACATTGGGTGGCTGGACATATGCCTCATTAGTTAAGAGGAGACTGGGGAACGCAGTAGAGCAGTGGTCCCAAGCATCTGCTCTGCTGTTTCTAACTCGTTCCCCGCTTCTGTTTCAGACTGACCTCTTGCCCTGCCAACCACCTCTCCACCCAAAATAACAGGTATGACTTAGAGACATCTTATGGGACCCAGAGGATATGTAGGACCATGCCTAAATGCTGTGAATGTGTACTGGGGATCTGGGGAGAGCTCTAGTGTTGGCGTGAGCACTAGATTGCAGTCTGGCCTGCCTTCATTTAACTGTGTAACTACATCCAGGAAGACTCCACCAGAAAACGAGTTCCTAGAGTGCAGCTCAGCATTTGCAGCACCTCTTCTGGCATGTGACTCCTCATTCAGTCTGTCGTAGACCATCCTGAGCTCGATGCTGGCTTCTCACCACATCTTGAGGACTGAAATGGCTTACGCTGACATTTAGGCAAGTGAGGTTGTTCCTCTCTCTGCAGC